TTTGGGTTGCATGTGTTTTTGTTTATTTTTCTGGGAACTCTGTGGGTTCATTTAATCCGGAAATTTACATCCCCCTTAGCTGGGGGGTATTTTCTTGAATTATCTTTACTGTGCTTTCTTTTCCTCAACTTTATTCTATCTGTGCTCCTATAATTCCAATGTTGGATTTTCTAAACTGGTCCTTTACTGGTTCTCTCCTAGTTTTTATTTTGCCTATCTGCTCTTTTTGTAAGCTTTCAACATTATCTTCTGGATCTTCTACGAAGTTTTTCAGAGGTTTAAAATTCCAACAGCCCTGTGTGTGGGTGCCTGTTGTTCTACCTTGTTTATGTTGAAAGCATCCTATTGTCTCTTGGATATCTTGAAATGCAAATACCTTCTGTAGTCCCCTGATGATATTGCTAGTCCTACCTTCAGAAGTTGCTTTGTGCTTTTTAGTGTTTGATTTCTTGAGAGAGGATTTTCCCAGATTTTCCACTATTCTTAGTTGCCTGTTTAACGGTAGGGGATAAAAAGGATGCTTGAAACACATACATGGAGCCTAATGATCTTCAGGCTTCACTGCAGAGAGACTGACATCTTGTCAGTCTTTCCCTCTATGCCTGGGCAGACATCTCAGATAAGATTCTTTCCATTTCTACAAGGGTCAGGGAGTGGGGCTAAAAGCCTGCTTCTCATTGTCTGGGAACTAGCAGGGCAGACAGACAGACATACAGTCTCTCTCTCTCTCATTCCTATTTTCCATTCTGAACCTCTGAGCTCAATAATACTTGGCATCCCTCAATCAAGAAACCCCTCTTTTTTTACTCTCTATAGAGAACAAACTAACTGAACGGTCATTCTCTTAGGAAGAAGGGCCCTAGAATGTTAACAGTTTCTTTAATGGCTTTCAACCAATTCTACTAATTTTAGTAAGTGTTCTTCCCTTTGCCCCACTAAGGTATCAGCTATTCCTAATTCCTTTCAAGGTTCCTGCAGTGTAAACTGTTTTGGCTCTTGATTTCCCATTGCTGGAAAAATATAAAACTGCTAACTCAGTCATCATGTTTAGTGATCTCCAGCATCTGAAACAGTTCCTCAGTCAATGTGGATTTATACTTAAAATGAGAAAACCAGTTCTTTTTTCAGTAGTCTTAGTGGGGGTTCCGAAGGGAGTCAAATTAGATGCGTTTATTCTATCTGCTACCTTTCTGGAATCTTTTCTTCTTCTTCTAACAGTCCCCAAATGATTCAAGTCCACCTGAAACAACTGCTCTAATACAAAAGTAGGTTCAGAGCTGTGAGTACACAAAACAAAGTTTATTCTTGTATTATTATTATATTATTTTCCATACTAACAACTGCAAATCTACTTTTGGCCCACCCTATATATTAGTGACTCTGAGCAAACTGTATTTAAATATGCATAATTGGAACCAAAATGCCTGTACTTCCTATCACTTGAATATTGTGGGAAAAAAAGAAAAAATGTGTCCATTCAAGAATGTGCTATGTCAACTTAAAGTTTACTGCTATCTTCTTAGAGGAAGATACTATTTTATTAGTAGTACGGTGAGATGTTTTCCCATCAAAGATGATGCATTGTATGATGATCTCTTCTTGTCCTCCTTGTACCTCATTTACAAGTCAACTTTTGGATTAGCAATACAGTGCACAGACTTATGTTTCTCCAAGACAGGTGGTCACCAAGTCACTAAAATGAAATGTAATAAAATAATGACTTCAGGCTCCTTTTCTTCTAACCAAAGCAATGAACACTTTATGCTGTTTGGGTATGGGCCGTTGATGTATGTGTGTAACTGTGTATGAATTTTTTATATTAATATCTCCTTCCAGGCATCCAGATTATGATAACAGCAAGTTAGCAGACCACACTATTCAGAAGAGACAGGAAATTAGTATTCCCAAGAAAAGAGGAAATTAGATACTACTTGAGAGAGTGAAGCATTCAGCTCCTAATTAAAAGAAATTTTTTTTTTTGATTTAACACAGTATTATCATCTTCAAAGTGTTTGGTAAATACTAAGCTTTCCTTTCACACCTTCAAAGGTTTAAAAGCACCACACAGGTAGCTGCAGGCCACCTGAAGTTCCAAAATGCTTTAATTATAATTTTAAGGCCATAATTCTACCAACAGCTAGTATTTGGGAAACCTGGATTCTAGTCCCAGGTTTTTTCCAAAGTGTCTGTGTGACCCTCAGGCGTGATATGCAGGTCTGCTTGGATTATTCATCTATGAAACAATTATTTCTTTCACTCTCTCCACATTGATTTCCTATTGCTGGCAGAGAGCAAATATAAATAAAAGCACTGTATTCATTTAGACAATTTAAATATATTTTAAATAATAATGTCAACATTTTTTGGTCTGGTTGCCAGAAAAAATTTAGTCTGAATACCCTTCAATTGCATGGAAATCTTATCTTTCCAACTATCCATTTTATCAAACTATATAGTAATTAAAAGTACATTTAATGTAAATTTAACATAAATGTAAATATACAGTAGTATAAAAGGACATTAAATTTTCTTTCATCTCAAGTTTAGGTAATATAACTCCCATTTAAAGCAGTTTTTTAAAAAAATCTTTATATTTAAATTTTTAATGAAAAGACTTTTTGGGTGGGATGTGAGGTATGGAATCGTGCTTTTTTTATATATATATATATATCTCAAGTGATCAGGATATCATCTGTAAGATAAAATGATTTTTGTAGAATTTTTTTGTTATATTGGTTAGTAATAAGTGAGCCTTATTGTGTTGCAGCAATTGGATTTTTCTACCTCATCAAAGGTTTTAATAAATTTAAGTGGCTGTCAAATGGTTTCAAGAAAAGAATAGAAAGAAGGGGATTTCACATTCTACCCAGAATTACCATAATATATTTATGGAGTAGGATTTATGTATGGGCTGCATGCTTTTATCTATTGTGCCTTGATTCAAACCCTAGCTTTTGACACTGTCTTGCTCTGTGCATTCTAGGCATGCCATTTAATTGCGGGGGCGGGGGTCAGCTGCTTCATTTCAAATGTGTTGTGAGGATGAAATGAAGTCAACGAAAGTATTCTAAAAAGAATAAAGGAAATTAATATACAAATATTGTTATCGTGTCTAATCAGCTAAATTATTTAAGTGCCTAGATGGGTTGGGAGGACTGGGTCCCTACTCTTATTTTTTTCCATTAGTTTCTCTCTAAATCCCATTCTATCTTTCACAGAGCCAAAGAAGCCCAAGGTCACCTATATACTAGTCCCCATACTTCACTATCACCAGAAATAACCTCCTTATTAATCTTTCTCAGGCCTTGCTTTCAACCAGACCGGATATCCGTCATAGTGCAAGACTCAAGACGTATTTTACTTTTTGTGTATCCTATCAAGATTTTTCTCTCGTTGAGGCAACACGAAGAACAGAAATCTGTCTGGAAGATACGGATGCACGAGCAGACTGGAACCACGGTTCTCTAATGGCTTTCTTAGCCTACAGGTGGGAATTGCTCATAGCCGATGGTCGCCGAGCAGATGAAGTCAGCAGTTATCAAAAGCACAGAGTATGACATGCACTCCGTGAGGCTTCATTCTTTAAATCTTCTCGCTGGAAATGTCTGACAGGCGTTCAGGAAAAGATTGGGAAATTTCTAGTCCCAACTGTTTGTACCTGACACAGGAAACTGACTAGGGGGTGGGGCTCGCTTTCACTCAAGCACTCAACATTGCTCTAAGGTGCCAGAGCTGGTCTCTGATAGGGAAGGCTGCCATAGCCTTGGTTCTGGTCGAGTGGGCTTTTACTCAGGGAAAGGAGAAACAAAAGTGGCGTTTCTGTGATGTGACAAACCATGCGCCTTACAGTTACGCACACCTGCAACATGCATCCCTCGGGCAGTTTTTTCCCAATCCCTCCCTTAAAGAGAAAGCGTGCGCCCGTGAGGGCCCATTACCATCCTGCAGGATGAGCGTGGGCTGCACCGCCTGCACTCGGAACTGCCGGGCCCTCCAGCCGGGGCTGGGCGCCCGCACCACCTCACTGTCGGACAGCCAGGTCACAGTCTCAAAGTTGTCCCCGCGAGCCAGTGCCTCGGCCTCGGCATGGTGCACGGCCACTCGGTCAAACTGGTAAAGGCCGCCAGAGTGGTCGAAGTGCACGTGGGTGGCCACGGCCAGCAGCGGCCGGCATCCCGCATCCTCTTTGGCCCCGCTATCCTGCAAGAGGCCGGAGGAGTACAGGTACTCCGGAAGGCTGCGCAGTCCCAGGCCCGTGTCGATTACCACGTCCTGCTCGGAGCCGCGCACCAACCAGATGTTGGCGCGGTTGCCGGACTCGTAGAAGCGTTCCTGAATCCAGAAGATGCCGTCGCCCAGGGACTTGTGGGCGTACCATTCTAGCGCCGACATTCTGGGCAGGGGTGCGGCCGAGCGGAGTGGATGTGGGCGTGTGTGCCTCCCGCAGGCTGTCCAGACTCCAGGCGCTGCGGCGGACTGGGGCGCTCTGCCCACAGCTGGGGAGGAGGCGCAGAGCGAGGTGGGGGAGCAGAACTAGGAGGAGGGAAGTGCAGAGGAGCCGCTTGGAGCGTCCAGCCGCACTCCGTACTCTCCCGTTGGGTATACAAAAAAATAATAATAATAATAAAATAACAGTGGCTGCTCTGCCCGCACTGGGGCGCTGGACCAATAGCAGCCTCCGTAGCCGCAGCACGAGGGAGCGTGAACGCGAGGAACACTGCGGGCGACTGGATATTTGGGATGCAACGCTTCCCCACCTCGGGGGCTCTGACCGCAGAGGCCGGGAGCCAGAAGTAGGATGCACCAGGTCCGCCCACACACCACACGCCAGGTTGCGCACTTCCAGCCGGCATAGAAAGAGTCAGGCCTAGAGGGGTTGACCCACTACGGTGCCTGCCAAGGGCTAAAAAGCTCTCTGCACAGTGGGCGGAGCCTAACTGGGGAGTGGGCGGGGCTAACTGCTTGGGGTCGGAACTCGGCTCTGAGGCCGCGTGGAGGGCGGAGCGCACCTTTCCAGTCGTGGAAGCAGTCGCGGATTGTTGGAGCCTTGGGTCTGGGTCGGTTCTTTCCCCGCGGGCGCTTCGGCTGCACAGTTTTATCCAAGCCTCGATTCTTAGAGACCAGGTAACAGAAGAAGCAATTGAGGACTTGGAAGGAGATTGAGAGGAAAGAGGGAGTTAAAGGGGCACATGGAGGAGGTGGGGGAAGTCAGGGTGGAGATTCATTAAAGCGCTCTGGGTTGAGGATCACTGAGAAATAACTTTATCTGTTACCCCTTCAAAATATTTTAAAATTGCATCTAGTCTCCTCTTCTGGGACTGTTTGCAGTGAGTTAGAAAGGAATTTATGCTCTTACTGATGGTAGATTTTCAAATCCGGTGACTATGTGATTGATTCAGGCACGAATCATTGCCGCAGACTTTTCTTCATTGTAGGCACTTTATCCTTTATCTTGGGGAGAGGGGTTGTTGATAAGATTTTTCTTTCAAATAATGAAATTCTGTATTCTTCCTTCAGCCTCCTTTTATTTATTTTTATTTTTTTTATTTTTGGTTCGCTCTTGGAAGAGAGCAAGGTTGGTAGAAAGGCTTAACTAAGGAAAGTGAAGGCAACCACACCTTGTGAGAGAAAAAGTGAATAATAATTGGATGTAGCACTGCCAGCAGCATAAAGCACCCCCACTCTTAACATCAGGTCACTTTCTCCACCCTGCTCTTCCCAGCTATTGAAACATCCATTTAGCCTTCAAAAATTCCTTTGGGAGTTTGACAAATCTCCCTCTCAACCAGGAGAAATTAGAGACCCATGAGACATTATAAAAGATAATGATCATATTGTGGCATTTACTAATAAGCCCACATGCAAGGATAGGTGTACTTTCCTCCCCTACACTGCTAAAACTTTTGGTGGAGATGCGTCCTTTTTGAATATTTTCCTAACATAGTTACAATTTTTCCAGTCACTCTTTTCAGGACTATCCTTATGTGTAAGTCCCTGAGCTAGATGATGTGTGAAGAAACTCGTGATCTGGGGGATATAAAATATCTATTGTTAATACAGTTGATGAAACAAACAAACAAAAATCATAAGTGAAACTTCTTCTCTTTGGAAAAGATCCATTTCCCAAAAGGGGCATGTCTGTATTTCTTCCAGAATCGAGGAGTGTAGCAATATGTATTACCTCAAGTTTTAAAAATCCACAGGATCTTTCTAAGAGCAAGATGATATGAAATGTAGGTTGTGGATGTTGAGGGACTTAAATTGGATCTTAAGGTGAAAAGGTATACAACCAGTCATGGAGGAAGAGGGAGGAGGTTGCAGTGGAGAGAGAATGACAGTCAAGCATGATTCCAGAAGTGTGAGTCAGGAGGAGAGGTGCAGCCGTCTTTAAAAGGTCTGAATGTTTGGATTTAATTCTCTAGCCAAAAGGAAAGGTGAGAAGAGTAGCATGATCAGAACTAGGCTTTATAAATATGAATAAGAACTATGAGTGATGTGCAAGGGTAAATAAACAACAACAGAAACTGCAAAATTTGCAGTTAAACAAAAATAAGGTTGAAAATGGCTTATCTGGATTATGGTAGAATAAATGGAAAGGCAGGAACATTTCAAAGGAAGAATTAGATGATTGATTTGATAGGAGGGGTGGAACAGAATGAGAAATCAGTACTGACTCAATCCAAATCTTCAAATATTGGTGACTAGGAAAATAACATACCATGAATAAAAATAAGGATCTTATACATGAAAGGCATGCTACTCAGTGTAGAGGGAAGATTGTCTTAGAATGCTAAGTTTAAGAAGCTGTCTGAATATTCTTTTTATCTGCCTCACTTGAGAATATGTTTTTTATTGATTTTAGAGAGCGAGGAAGTGGAACAGAGAGAGAAACATCAATCATTTGCTCCCCATATACACACCAACTGGATTGAACCTGAAACCGAGGTATGTTCCCTGACTGGCAACTGAACTGCAACCCTTTGGTGTACGGCACGATGCTCCAACCCACCTAGCCACCTGGCCAAGGCCAAATAATCTTTTGGTAGTAAGCACGTCAGCTGAAACTCAGGACACAGGTTAGGGCTGGAGGTAATGATGTTAGAAAAACCGTCGAAACCCTAGAGAGAGTGCACTTTCTGAATACAAAAAAAAAAAACGGCAGAAGACCGGGTGAACCTTAAAGAAATTCTTGTGTAGGGGGTTTAAAAAGAGAAGTAGACCAAAAAAAAAAGGTCAGTGGGGTAGAAGGACCTGGAGTTTTATTAAAGTCTAGGAAAGGGAGTGTTTCCAAAGAGAGGAGGCAATAATCAGCTGTGCTTCAGAAGCCCAAGAGCATGAACAAAGACAAAAGGTCAGTGGATTTTGCTATTGAGGACCATTTAAGACTTTTGCATTTCAGCATCTTCATGAGTGTAGTTCCCTTTATTCACAAGTAAGATAAAAGCCAAACCCTTTACCACAGCTCTTGCAGGGCTCCACAAGATCTGGCCTCTACCAGCCCCTTTTTGCTGCTTACCAATTATGTGGGCTCCTTGTTCTTCAGACACTCCTAGCTTCTGGCTTTCCCATTTGTGCTTGCTGTTAACCTTACTCTAATCATTTCCATCCTGTCTCTCCATCTAGTAGCTCCCCGGCCTTCCCCAGCACACTGCTTAGATTTTTCCTCCACAAAAAGACTTTCCTTATATGAAAAGCCATACTCCTTTGTTCTTCTCTGTCCCCTTACCATGATTTTTTTTTCAGAGCTGTATTGATTTCCTAGGGCTGACATAACATTATCACAAATTGGGTAGCTTAAAACAATGGAAATTTATTCTCCCACAGTTCTGGAGGCTGATAGTCTGAAATTAAAGTGTTGGTGGATTTCTTATTTTGGAGGTCAGAGGGAGAGTCTGTTTCATACCTCTCTCCTAGCTTCTGGTGTTTCCTGGCTTGTGGATGCAGCACTGCCGCCTGTGGTGTCCCTGTGTATCTCCTTCTGTCCAAATTTCCCTCTTATAAGGATACCAGCCATTGGAAGAGGGCTCACCTTAGTTCAGTATGACCTCATCTTAATTCGATTACCTCTCCAAAGACTTTACTACCAAATAAGGAAGGTCACTTTCACAGTTATTGGCAGTAAGGACTTCAGTATCCTTTTGGAGGGGACACAATTCAACTCAAAATAAGAACAGGTAATATTATTTTGCATACTTACTTAGTTGTTTGTATTTTTTTTCCTCCACTGAAATTTAAGACCTGAGGGCAGCGACCATTTCTGTTTAAGCTGCCTGGGTCCTGCCACAGTGTCCGGAATGCTCAGTATTGGTTGAATGAATGACAGTGAAATTGACCCACATGAATTAAAGGAATATTTGGAATGAGAAAATGGGGAAACCTGGTTTTAAAAACCCTTCGTTCAGGAAGTTTGGCAGGGTGAAAAAGAAACAAAGCAATGATTGAATCAACTTAAAGGATTTCGAAGAGTGACACTCTGGTTTAACTCTCCCATCAGATAGTTACCAGAGTCAAGGGACTGCTTCTCGGTTCTGCGAGAGAAGAAAAAATGGATCTAGAAGCTTCTCCAAGTACAGGAGAACTGACTCATGATAATCTAAAGGAGATGGATTTGTAGTCCAGAACGTTGTGTGATTAATTACTAAAGGCGTCTCAAGGATTTTTCTGCCAAGGACAGTACACATTCACTAATGATAGCATTTATAGACCCAAAGGTTGCTTGATAAATACAGAAGTTTAGAGATAGCAGATTTTGCTGTTTCCCAAGGGGTAGTCTATCAAGCAATGGTAGCCAGTAGATTCTCTTTCTAGGGTAAGTTTTCCAACTACTTCCCAGGGCCCACCTCCAAAGATTCTGGTGTAGTAGATTTAAGGACTCGAAGATCACTTGGGATTCTGTTTAATAAATCCTCCAGGTAATTCTCATGATCAGGCAAGATTGGGAGACCTTACCTAGAATTGTTCTTAATCTTTAATTAGTGGCAAATCCTGGATTGGAATTCTGTCTAGTGCTCTCTACCATATCTGCTGGGTTCCCACAATTCATTTCTGCTTAGCAGTATTCATACTTGGGAGACCTGTTTTCTGTAAGCTCAGCATATGCTTTAATGGCTCAGCAATTAAAACAAAGCCATATGGATATTTTCCTTCTCCCTTAGTGTGGACAGCTGAATGAGCCTGGTTATTAAAATAAGCACCTTTCCTATATGAATCGTGTTTCATAGTAACTGAATAGCGGATGAGGGTAGTAATAAATACAGAAAGAATGATGAAATTTGTATATTGCCACATTGCAATCCATAGTGGAATAATGGATGTAGGCTCTGATCATCAATGGCTGCCAAAATCATCAGGTGAAAACTGAGGGGGAACATCATACTAGAGGAAACAGACTGACAGCACCGAACCCACTAATCAGAGAACATCGCTGGGACAGACACTTCATGGGCATCCTGATGTGATGGAGTAAAAAAAAAAATAAGCATCTCTTTTAAGTATTCTTGCAAAAAATCAAACCCAAATTTGAGTAAGCTTCTAGTCCACCTGTTCTTAGAAAATAGAGGGAATAGAGGAATGTGTTAAACTACATCTCATGTATGCAACCATTTAAATCCAAAATATGGGACAGTGTATAGCCTTGCTACTCTCTTCAGTGTGGTCTGCAAACCAGCAGCATTGATATCTCCAGAAAGCTTATTGGAAATGCTGATTCTCCAGCCCAGCCCAAGGCCAACTGAATCAGAATCTGCATTTTAACAAAATATCTAGGTAATTGACATGTGTCTTAAAGTTGGAGAAGCATTGTATGTACAATGACCTCATTTTTTAAAATAAATAAATAAATAAATAACAAAGGAAAATGGGAAGAAACTCACAATGGTACCGGAGGGCATATTATTGCTTTTTGAACACACTGGGTTGAATGATACTCAGTCTTATCAGTGGGAAAAGATTTTGAAAGTGTGTATTATAAGCTTCACTACAGTCAAATGTGAGTTGTAGTGAAAGAGCCTTAGTGCAGGGAACTCTATTAATACACTGCTGGCTCAGGTATCACGTTATAGTGTCATCACGTTTTAGGCAATTCAGACTTTCAGAACAGGACTTGAGTACGTGACACTCTACTGTCCCCAATGTTGAAGAGAGCACAGGTTATCCTACCTTTTACAGTTTCAATTTTAGATGTTTTTTCTCTAAGCTTATTTATTTATTTATGTTTTTGCTTGGACAGACCTCTTCAGAATCTTACTGAGCCCACTCCCATTTCTAAAGGGAGGACAATGGACTTGATCTCAATGATCTTTCCCAACATTCAAATTCTAGGATAAAGAAAAATCATTTAAAAATTTAAAGTATGTATGACTGCTGATAGTCTTCAAGTTGAATGAAAAAGCAAAGTGTCCCCTCTTCATCAGTGTGACCTTTCCTTGTCCGCATTTTTACCTCTATGGGAGACCTTGTTGCCAAACCACAGAGGAGTGGAGAAAATGCATCAGCTGGCTATGCAGTGGTTGGGGCAGTGTCTTGCAGGAGACCCAGGGTCAGCCTCAACCCAGAACCTGGGTGAGGTAGCTGAGGCCATCGTCACCTCACCTGCCAAACATGACTAGATGTGAGGGTTTCAGAAATCAGTTTATCACATGCTAATTTCTTCCAGCGGTGTTTACATCAGCCATGCTATTTAAGGGGTAGAGTGTATTTTGCTTTAAAACATTGGTTTCGTTTTTCATATGATCCAAAATAAATCTTAATCATTAATAGTGTCTTTCAGAATTTGCCGACTTTTCTGTTATAACTAGTTCCAATGGCTGGGAATAAAGGAAGAGGACGTGCTGCTTATACCTTCAATATTGAGGCAGTTGGATTTAGCAGAGGTGAAAAGTTACCTGAAGTAGTATTGAAACCACCCCCACTATTCCCTGTAAGTATATTAACAGCTAATTCTCACAGTGTTTTTGTGTTACAGAGAAAATTAAAATTCTATATAAGACCTGAATATATGATAGGATTATGATATCCTAAAGTGTAAGAAAGTAAGAGCATGTTTCACTTATCTTTAATTTAAATATTTCCACTGTTCTTCCCTGAACCTTTCTTATTTTTCAGAGTGCTGTCTTAAAACACAGAACATAAAACTGTTTACATACCTTTCCACGAATATATTTCAGTACTGTGTGAATTAAGAAAGAATTTTTTAAATTCATGCATCTTACATTGCTATTATTGATATATTATAATATTAAAATAATATTTTTTGCCCTTGTTGGTGTGGTTCAGCGGATTGAGCACTGGTCTGCGATCTGAAAGGTCGCTGGTTCGATTCTTAGTCAGAGCACATGCCTGTGTTGCAGGCCAGGTCCCCAGATAGGGGTCTGCGAGAGGCAATCAATGGATGTTTCTCTTACTCTCTTTCTCTCTCCCTTCTCCTCTCCCCTAAATAAATAAATCGATGAATGAATGAATAAATAAATAAATAAAATCTTTAAAACATGTGTTTTTTAAAGCAAAGGTTTTACAGTGGTCCTCATTTCCCACCCTACCAGGCTTTCACTTATGATTTTCTTCTCATCTTGCATCTATAGAATTTAATTTTCTTCCCTGTTCTCCATTTGGCCTTTTTTCCCACTGAACTTTTTTTTTTTTTTTTTGCTTATTTCCATATTTTATTCAAGTGAATTTAAATTTTGTTAGTTACTCAAAATGTAAGTGCTTCTGCTGCATTTGGTGTTGGTTTTAAATTTAATGACTAGACCACAAGCTTAGTTGGCATAATGTTTAATCTAATATTTTCACTTTATACAATATTTAGTTTAAAACGTAAGCCTACATTTCCAGATGGGCATGTGCTGTGGTATAAAAAAAAATCATAAATAACCAGATACTCCCTTCAGGAATCTTTTTCCTGCTTCAAAAGGAAAGGTCTTTGATGAAAGATTAATGTAACTAGAGGACCTGGACAAATATATCTGGGGAATCTACATGTCTCACATAGAGAGTCTCTAGTTTTTTCTCTTGCTATTTTGCCTTTCTGATATTTACCACATCCAAAAAGCAAAGATAAATATCTCAGGTATAAGCATAATGTCACTTTATGTTTATTTATTTTAAAACAAGCTCTTGTCCTTGTGTGAGATTACTTCTGAATACTGGGACTTTAGTACATACTGTTTTATACATGGAATAAAATTGAAATTCCCTACTACTGGCTGAGAGGCTCTGTCTGATCTGGCCTTTCTGATGTCCCTCTGACTCTTTTCCTACCACACCGGTCTCTGTCCCTAGCCATCCTGGCCTCCTTTTTCCCTCAGGCATTTCCCCTGCTGGTTTCCCTGGCTGGAGCCATCCTTTTCTCAAGTCTTTGCAGGGAGAGCGTCCTAATTTTTTCCAGCTCTCTTCTTAACCATGATTTCCCCAAGAGGTCATGCACACTTACCCTGTGTAGACCAGCCCCCTCCAACCTCCACTCTTTTCTCTACTGGCTTCATTTTTTTCAGAGCACTTGTTACTATCCAGAATTACATATTACCTTATTTGTTTGTTTATTTGTTGTGTTTGTCTCCCCTAGAATGGAAGTTCCATGAAAGCAGGGAATTTGACTGGTTTACCATGGTCTCTCCCGTTGTCTAACCATGCCTGGATTATAGTAGACATTTACTAAATAGTTGTAGCATTAATGAATAAGTTTGGAGTGAAATTTTGAAAATGCATCCTATACTTAGCCTCTGAAACCAGAAATGTCTTTACTGTATACCTGGAGGATCCACTTTTTTATGAATGTATATATTGGGCATATATGCACATATATGCATATATAAATATGTGTATGCATGTAATTTTTTAAAACTGAAGATGTAGCTTCAAACTCCTGCTTTACATGTTTATGGGCTTATAGGTTGTTCACTTCATAATTTCTTCACTGTAAAGGGTAAATATTGATGATACTTGAAATGAGATTATAGATGTTAACTACTGAGTAGTACATTCTAGTCATAGCAGCCTCTTGCTAAATGATAGCTGCTACTATTATTTTTTTTATGCTACTGCTCCAAACAATACTACCACCTCTCACTGACATTAATAGGAGACTAAAGCAGTTACTCTCATTCAGGTGCCTTGATTTTTATAATATGGAATCACAGCAAACAAACAAACTATACAGCAAAAGGATTATGTTGTAGTCAGGAAAATTAGGGCCAGTAGGAAAATTAACCATCTTTCTTACCTCTAAAATAAGAGCCAATGGGCTAAAAGGTTAAATAGAATACAAAAGCTCAACATACTTTAAGTTGATTGTAAAATTTAGTACCCGTAAAATGTAATTTTTCAATAAAACTAACATTTTCCAAAATATAGGCAAAAGGGATATTAAAATATTTAAAAAATATTGTCTCTTAACTTAAATAGGATACAGATTATAAACCAGTGCCACTGAAAACAGGAGAGGGTGAAGATTATATGCTGGCCTTGAAACAGGAGTTGAGAGAAACTGTGAAAAGAATGCCTTACTTTATAGAAACACCCGAAGAAAAAGAAGGTGTGTATTGGACTCTTCGATTTTGTCATTCAGTGTATGCACGTGAAACAATTCTTTGGCACAAAATAAGTGACCATTTTGTACTCATTGATTTGACTCAGTTGGACATTATCAACTACCTTAAAAAAGCATATTTATGTTGATTTAACAGAAAATAAATACTAAATTTTTTGATACTTGTAAAATTATCTTTCACAATAGAAGTTTTGTATGTTCAGTGAAAATTATGAACCGTAACAAAAAATTTTAAAGGTAAAAATCACCTATAATGTTTATGTGTAGATTATAATACTATTAATATTTTATTGCGTCTTCCAGAATTTTTCTTTTATATTTGTATTCTTTTTACAAAATTGGACTCATTACTTGGCATCTTCCTTTTTTTACTCAATAGCATACTAACATTTTTACATATTCCTAGTATTCTTGGAAAATACGGTTTTTAATGACTATGTGGTAATGAGTATTAGAAAATATATGTGGTATTCCATACTGGATATAACATTAATTGTAACTAATTTCCTGCTGTTATGTTTAAGTTCATTTCTAATTTTTATTTTCTCATGTATAATGCCATGATTACTATCCTTACATATAAATCTTTATGCAGGTCTCTGATTATTTCATATTTTGGTTAAAAATCAAATGCCTTGACTATATTCTGGCTTACAATTTTTATATCGTATAGAATAGAATATAGAACACAGACTCATTAGTTATGGTAAGAACAGATAGGAGATTCAGCTGGAGAAGGCTTCACAGTCTCAGACTGGAAGTGGGCAGTGGTTTTAGAGGAAGGGCACGCATCCTGTGTGGTTTTTTTAGCACAGTAGAACTATATTGAATTTTAGTTTCTGCCCTTGAATGCTGAAATTAGAGACATCAATATCATTCTTGAGTTCTCAAAACAACATCATTAAAACATGAGACATTCATATAGTGTCATCTTATTCCATTAGTAATAAAATGCATTCCATTTTCCCTCTCTCTGAAAGACAGAATTGGCTAAGAGTCAAAAAGGATGTCTTATATATTACATGTGCTTATAATTATAAGAAGCCTTTTAGACAAGTTCATTTAATTTTTCAAAACTTAACTGCTTGAAATTACATAATGGTTTTATAAGAGATCATTTTACCTAGAAAAATACTGAACTTTTTTAACTTTCATGATTATGTTTATGCTTTTATTCCTTTGGGTTTGAAAATGAAATTAAAGCTCTCATTTTAAAGATTTTAAAAAGTAACACTAAATGAACTAATAAATATTCATTCTTGTTAGAAAAATAATAATGTAGGGTATACTTTAGTTTTTTAAAAAATAGTTTTTTCTCTAGACTGCAGGACAGATTTAATTAACTAAATATGCTTGTTATTAAAGCACGTGTCTAATTTAAAAGTGTATCATATCATTAAAATATTTACCTGAGTCTTTTAGATACACATTAAGAACATAATTTTGTTGCTGATTTCTGGGAATGGTTGGTTTGTACCTGGATCAAGAGGCTCTTTACCTTTGATAACAGCACAGTAAAATATTAAAAAATATATGGAATCTTTTGCTTTTTTTTTCCCAGGAGAAAACCCTCGTATAGAGTTTTCTAAAGTGATACAAGTACATCCTCCTTAAAATCTTCATGTTTACCTCCTTTTCCTGATGTAATCTGTTTTTCAAAAACTATGTTTGAAAATAAAGGGTTTTTAAATATAATATGTACACACATATGTGCATGTACAGGTTAATATACATACAGTATATAGACATATATACAAATGTAATGTGTACACACGTGTGTAGGGGTTAATATACGTACTATATAAAGGCATATGTACACATATATTTACATATATTTTTTACGTATATATACAAATAGTGTAAAAACAATTGACTGGCCTGAACGGAAGTAAGCAACTGTCAGAGGGAGACACATTCTAGGTAGTGTTGCATCACCAGCCGTCTCCTATCACTCGCCAGCTGTGTGCTTTAGGAAAAAGAGACTTATGGACTAATGTAAAGAACTAAACTACTAGAGTAGGACAACAAAAAAAGCTCAGTGCAGTTCAGTGCACTGAGCTTTGTCACAAAGAACTGAGGGCACAGAATAAACACAAGTTGTAATGTGTTCAAGGTTTGTTTATAACGTTTTCAGGTACAGTTACAGAAGTGAGTGGTATTTTCTTGACAATGAAATTTATTATTTTTATAGTAAAGGTAAACATCAATAAATATTATTTTATTGAATTTTAGCTGCAAAGGTACATAGAGATCATCTGGTCCAATGGTTCCCAGCTCAGGTTCCTGAACCACTGGGGTCCCCTGAGGTCAAAACAGGAGTGACAGAGATGATGTTCTGTAAGCTATTTCAGAGCTTAATGGAAATTATACATTTACCTACAGTATGGCCACAAGATCTCTATGAAATAAATGGAGTTTGTATTTTATTATCTCTTTCTATACCATCAGGCTCCATATGACCCTGTTTTAATTTTTGAGTTCTTTTTGACCAGTCCTTATATATGTAAGGATTAATATTCATAACTTATTTTTTATAGAGATCTTACAAAGAACAAAGATAATTTACTTTAAAAAAGAAAAATAAAACATTTTATCTTAGCATTACCATATCAGCTCATATGACCCGTTTATTAATTTAAAATACACTTGGGAATCTTAGTGATCTTATTTTTCCTGCCTTGAGACATTTGGGTGTTTCATCATCATAGATATTATTTCATCATTCATCCATTATTCCCCACTGTGATGGGGAAAATAGGCTAAAATATAAAAAAAATAGAAGAATGATAAAATTGCATAGAAGGACTATGCAGTATTGAAATAAATCAATCACTATTACATCATTGTTTACAATTTTCCTATTGTGTTGCCCAAAGTATTACATTAATTTTTAAGAAGATATAAAAGAAGTCCGGAGAGACTCTTGCTGTTGTAGTTGTTTTGTTTTTCTTTTAGCTTTTATAAAATACAATTGAGATTTTAAACTTTTTCATTTTCTGCTCATAATTGCAAAGAAGAAAATTGAGAGGAAGATGTTTCACAGTTACTAAACAAATCAGGAGATGAATGCAAAGAGACAGCAGCTCTCTGGTTGCTTAATGATAATGGTGGAAAATGTTTGTATAAGCAAAATCTCAGGCCAAGTTTTTAGTTGACAATATCCTAGATGAATTTTCTTAAACTCAAGAATCAATGAGTAAACAGTATATTTCTAAGGATAAAAAGGAAATACAGTAATCTCATGTAGTTAACCTTTGCAAAGCATGTCATCTCAATATTTTGTGATAAGAATCTGGAACATCCTGTTTGCTAAAATGACATGTGACCATTTTTTTATGATATTGATATACCAAAATTTATTTGCTGTAGTTTGTAACTGGACAAATGCTGAAGGCAAAGACAAAGATACCTGAATGGAAATAGGTTATATAGAAGTGAAACAATTTAGTGGATTGATCATGTTAATTGGTAGTATAAATTTAATAATGAAACGGTCTTGCAATTATAGACCAAAAGAAGATGGCTGGCCCGTCCTCTCTTCAACAAAAATTTTTTTTAAGATTTTTACTTATTTTTAGAGAAGGGGAGGGAGAAAGAAAGAGGAGAGAAACCTCTCGTGCGCCCCCAACTGGAGACCTGGCCTGCAAGCCAAACCTGTGCCCTGACTGGGAATCAAACCAGTGACTCTTTGGTTCGCAGGCCAGTGCTGAATCCATTGACCCACACCAGCCAGGCACCATCAAATATTTTTAAAGCATTACATTTTGGTGGTGCAAATACAAGAAGAATCGGAAGTAATCATTAGCTAGAAGCTATTAGAAATGCATTTGTAATTAGAATCATTTAGATGGTGCAAGTGTAAGAAGAAGGACCATAAGTAGTAAGTTAGTACTTATTAAAGATGTATTTGGAATTCGGAATCTGGAATCAGGATATATGAAATGCATGTTTTCAAGGTTTGTGCATGACAAACCTAGAATGCACAAATGGTGCACAGTTAGCTACACTCAAAAGATGTTGCCTGTTTTGGCTAAATGTACCTTCAAAAACAGAAAAATAATGGAATATAAATTTGAGTTAATTATACTTAATTTCTTCTTAAAACTTCCAATAATTTTTATCCTTCTTCAATAACAAGCTTATTGAGATAAAACTCACTTTTTAAAGTATACAATTCAGTGGCTTTTCTTGTAGTCACCGAATTACACAACTATACTACACTCTAATTTTTAGAAGCTTTTTTTATCCTGAAGAAACTGCATACCCAATAGTATCACACCCCTATTCTCCCCTCCCTCCCAGCCCATGGCATCCACTAGTCTGCTTTCTTTCTAGTGATTTGTCTTTTCTGGATATTTCATATAAATTGAATCATATGTGTCTTTTAGTGACTTGTTTCTTTCACATAGGATGTTTTCAGGGTTTGTCCATATTATAGCATGTATCAATGCTTCATTTCTTTTTATGGCTGAATAATAATCTGTTTTATGTATATACTACATTTTGTTTAACCATTCATCAGCTGGAAGACACTGGGGTCAATTCCCTTTTGGGGCTATTATGAGTAATACTGCTATGAACATTCATGTATACATTTTTCTGTGGACATAAATCATTTTTATTGGGTATATACCTAGGGCTATATAGTATCTCTATATTTAACATTTTGAGGAAATTTCAAACTTAAAAAGTTTTGCACATTTTTATATGACCAACAATGTATTAGTGTTCCAATTTCTCCACAACATTGCCAACACTTGTTACTGTCTTTTTGGTTTTAGCTATCCTACTAGGTAGGTATAAAGTGGTATCTTATTGTAGTATTGATTTAAATTTAATAGCTAATGATGTTCAGCGTCTTATTGTGTGTTTTTTTGTCCATGTATATCTTCATTGGAGAAACGTCTATTTAAATCATATGCCTCTTTTTAATTGGGTCCCTGTAGATGGTTTTCAGTATCTCTTATTCAGTAAATTATTTGAAAGTAACTTAAAAATATAAAAAATGGATCATTGGACCCAGATAATAAATGGTAATAACTGCTTTTCTTAGTTTGCTTTGGGTTAATTTTTTTTTCAAAATATGGAATCCATTTTGGAGAAAACTATAAAATGCGAATTCTGGGAATCTCTCATTTGTGCTGACTTCTCTTTACAGATGAAACACTTGAGATTAAGATTGAAGTCAAACAGTTAAATACCTAGAAGAGCCTCGTCTGTTGGTCTCTGATCTGCTTTGGTTATCTTATTTATCTTTGTCTAACGCCATGGTCTTAGTATTATTTGGAAGCATTTTTTTCTAAAGATTTTATTTATTTATTTTTAGAGAGAGGGGAAAGGAGGGAGAAAGGGAGGGAGAGAAACATAGATGTGAGAGAGAAACATCAATTGGTTTGCCTCTCAAACGCGCCCTGACTGGTGACCGAACTTGCAACCCAGGCAATGTGCCTTCACTGGGAAGCGAGCCAACAACCTTTAGCTTTGCCAGAGAATGCCCAACCAACTGAGCCTTACTGGTCCGAGCTGGAAGCATTTTTATATTTTCATCTTTTGTGTTACTTTCCCTTTATCACAGCTATATTCTAAAACCACTTTTTATGATGAACCATGGTTTCATCTGATGCATGATGGTGGTGCTTGGGCCCTCATCAATGGAGCTTCTGGTGGTATAGTGGGGAAGGTAGAATCAAGAGACAGAGTTGTGGCTCTTCCGTTTTTAGCAAGCACAGAGGGTCCCTGCAGTAGTTGGCATGGAAGGCTTGCAGCATGCTCATTCATGGTCCCTTCAAGTCGAGCCTCACCTGCTCCTACCTTTTGTCCCACTCTCCACCCCAATGGGCTGTGAAAAGTAGCTTATTGAGAAGCCTAACTGAATGGTGTATTAAGTGCTAGAAGTGAGCAAACAGCCCTCCCTCCCCACTGAGGTACTTAATATTGTACATCCCACTTACACAAGGTTTAAAGTTTGGGAGCTGGAGGCCAGTGTCAGCAGAAGAAAACAGAAGATGCTGGGTAGACCTCCTTACCCTTTTATGTCAGTGGCTTTTTGATATGGCTTTGAGCTCTTGTGAATGTCCTCAAAGATGAGTCAGGTTGTCTGACTCTTAAGAACTATAATCAGGGTTTGGGTTTCTGCTCACCCCCAGATATTCATATGCAGCTGCTTCTTGCCACTTTCTTAAACATGTAATGCTCATTGAACTCTTCAATGTGTGTTCAGTAATACATCACGTACAAATGCAGGAAATTCCCTGAACGTGAAGTAAAAGGTATTTGGTGTTTTCAGTTATTTTAAAGGAATGGCTGGATTTCAGGTTTATTTTTGATTTTTCTAATGAACACTTTTTTTTTCCTAGATATTGAAAGGTATAGTAAAAGATATATGAAGGTGTACAAGGAGGAGTGGATACCAGGTAATTATAAAACTGAAAATGCTAGAATGATATTTAAAGGCTTCTTCCTACCTCATATTTTTTTAGGACAAATTTTCTATTTCACCATAGCAAAATACAGTCTCTTTCTGCAACTAATTAGTAATATTATCTCATGAAAACTAAGATAAAAAGATTTTTATACTGTAAGAAGGCAGAGTTGAGGTATTTTTGTGGAAGTTCTTAAAATACTTTTTTTTTTAAACTAGGACTTTTTAAATAATGCCAGACCCATTTTGGTTTTTTTTTTCATTTGCCAGAATCACAGTTTCTGTCCTTAGTACCAATAGTACTCAGTTCTGTGCTCCTAAGTGTTTCTATAGCTTTTGAAGAAAAAAGCAAATGTAGTGTTAAGGATTTTTAAGTTAAGTTCATGGATCCTCCTTTCTTTCAAGCAGACATAGACTATTTTTCCTTTAGTTGTTAAGATGTGTTTTCAAAAGAACCACACCTAATGGAGACAAATGTATCTGAACAATAAAAATAAATGAAGAAGAACAACAACCATACCTAAAAGCTTTTTTTGCCCCAACATTCACAAATTTACATTGGGTATAGACAAGGTGGAAGGGGCTGGAGAGATCTCATTCAGCTCATTTATTTTGCAGGTAAAAAAAGAAAAGGTTGCAGTCAGGGCAACTTGGATCGGGCTACTAGAACCTAGGTCTCCTCATTTTAACTCACTTTCCTTTGACATCTCTGTCCTTAGTGTTTGCTTTTATGGGTTATAGTGCTTTTTCTTTTCAGTGTTGATTGATCATTGGTAAGGTTGGGTCCCCTGGAAACATTCTCTTAGATCTTTCATTTCTTCCACTTCATAAATATTTGTCTTCTAAATGATTCTTGTTATTCAATACATATTTTCTTGTGATTATCTGTGAGTTGCTTATAAAAACTAATGTATTAAGATAAAATAGCTTGAGATGTACATGTTTTCTACAAAATACACTGAGGTTTTATTTTTTTATTAGCAGGCAGTATTTTTTAATCCATTTTTGTGTTTCTTCATATTTTGGATGAATCTATGCTTAAAAATTAAATGGAAGTGATAAATAGAGGAATTGTTTACCTATGTAGGCAAAATTATTTGTTGGAGGGAATTTACTTTTTCATAGGTATTTATATTTTTAATTTTAAAGTTTTTAGATAATGTCATTATTTATTTAATTTTGCATGTGTTGGCATTGCGGTTACCTGTTTTAACTTTTGAAAAAAATCCTTTATTACGTAAGAAATACATACCAACTACAGAAAAGTTATAAAACAGAGTAGTCAAATGATAAATAGGTAATACTTAAAAAGATAGCTGTATTCCTAACATCTGCAAAGAATTACTCTAATATTTCATTCCCAACCTACAGCTTTCTTTGCACAAATATATATATGTACAGGATGGGACATAACTAGGTTTATAGCTATTTGTATGGACAATAATGCCATAATTAATGAATGCTAATACAAGAAACTATCTCATATACTCAAAGCTGTAAACCTACTTTTGTCCCATCCTGTGTAAATATTTATATACTAGGTTTATTTTTAAGTGGGATTCTATACATACTGTTTTAAAAAGATGTTTTTTATTCAGCAATATATCATGAATAACTTTTCACTTCCATTCATACCCAAAACATTTCATGTAGAAAAAATATTTTTCTACATTTTTCTTGTTACAAAAATTTGTTATTCAAATTGATTACATAAATACTGTATCTATAAATAGCTGTTTAAAGGATGTTGTAGAATTTTTGAAGCACTATTTCAAAGCTATTTTAATGAACATATTTTCTTCATAGGAGAAAATGTATTTTTCTTATATTTTGATTTCAAGCCTAAAACTGTACAGATACTAAAAATTTTATTTTCAATGCTTGAGCCACTGTTGTATTTTTTAAATATTTGTTATGTCCAGTGCCACTAATTTATAGAAGGAATTGCAATTTTTATATTTCATTTATGCACACAGATTGGAGGAGACTCCCAAGAGAGATGATGCCAAGGAAAAAATACAAAAAAGGTATGTTGATGAATATAATAAACCAGGTAGGAAAAGGTTATTGGTTAAATTCTATCTAATATGGAAGTATCAACCTGAACCTTACTTAGTATTCTGAATGCTTTTACTTAAAATATGTTTCACATTTTGATTATTTTGCTGAAGCTTTTTTTTTGCCTGATTTTTTGTTTATTTTTGTTTGTTTTCTTTCTTCAATTATGGAATTTTGATGTGCTAGGAAAGACTTTTCAATTATGTAGATAATTTTATTTGACAGTTTCAGAATGTTTATGTTGCCTGATATTTAGTTTTTAATTGAAACATTCAGAACTGGTCAAATTTTGGGACTGGTAAAATAGAACTTGAAGTCGTATGTAAAATATCAAAGTGAAAGTTTCTGTTGTATTTCACTTTCATAATTCCACTGAGTAAATAATTGTTGAGCATCTATTATTGCCAGACACTGCTAAAGGGAACAAAACAGTGAGCAATGTGAGAAGAGTCCTTGCCCTGATGGAGCTTACAGTCAAATGTAGTAACAACATTAAATTAAAACTCACTGTTCTCATTGGGAGGTCAAGGAAAAGTTCTCTGAAGAGGTAGAATTGGATTCCAGATTGAAGAATGAATAGGACTTTACTAAAATGAGGTTGGGGGAGGGATTTTGGAGAAAGATCAAATTTGAGAGGGAAAAATCTTAAGTTTAATTCAAAGATGGTATTTAGGGTATGGGTCTTTTGTTTTGTTTTTTTTGAGATACACAAATGACAAAGCTGCATATGTTATTGGATACAGGGAGATGGACCTCAAAATGGAGATGGTAGTCATCAGAATAGATGAAATTGTCTAGAGTGAAATTAAAGAACTTGAAATGAGGGCCTAATCATGAGCTTGGAGGAATAGCAAAATTTAGTGGCTGGAAGAGGAAATTGAATCAGTAAAGAAAGGTAATGGAAAGAGAGGAAGAGGAGAAGGAGGAGGAGAAACAGAAAAGAGTGGAGTTACAGGAGATTATCCAGAAATGAAGAGTATTTCACAAGGTGGTCAACAATGTTAAAGGAGGTTAAACAGTGCTGCTGAGAGGACTGTAAGATAAAGATTGGGAAATATAAGTTAATTTTTGACATGTTGATCATTGCTGACTTCAGTGAGAGCTTTTTAAAAGATTTGTAGAGGTGGAAATCAGCAGATTGGAAGGGTTTAAAACACTGGAATGAGAGTTTTAAGAAATGGAGACAGCTAGCCCAGATGAGTCTTTAGAGAATTTTGCTAAAAAGAATGAAGAGAGCCAAAGGGAAGTAGCCAGGGAAGTTAAGAACAACTGGGTTACTAGCTAAGAGAAGAAATTTCACCCATACACCCCCTTTATTTTTTTTTAGGTCTTACGTTTTTTAATAGACCTTATTTTTTCAGATCAGTTTTAGGTTCACAGAAAAACTGACCAGAAAATACAGATTCCCCACGTATTCTCTGCCCCACATACACGCACAACATCCGGATTGCCATTATCTCCCACCAGAGTGGTCCTTTTTTTACAATCAATGAACCTACATTGACATATTATCACCCAAAATCTGTAGTTTACCATTGTGTTCTTTCTTGGTGTTTTACATTCTTTGGGTTGGACAAATATATAATGACATGTATTTACCAATACAGTATCATACGGAGTAGTTTCAGTGCCCTAAAAATCCTCCATGCTCTGCCTATTTATTCCTTCCTCCTCCTAACCCCTGATGACCTGTGATCTTTTCTCTGATTCCATAGTTTTGGCTTTTCAAGAATACCATATAGTTGAAATCATATAGTATATAGCCTTTCATATTGACTTCTTTCATTTAGTAATATGGAATTAAGCTGCTTCTGTGGCTTTTCATGGCTGATAGCTCATTTCCTTTTAGTGTTGAATAATGTTCCATTGTCTAGTTGTACTATAGTGTATTTATCCATTTATCTACTGAAGGGCATCCTGATTGCTTCCAAGTTAGGCCATTATGAATAAAGTTCATATAAATATCCATTTTTGTATGAACATAAGTTTTCAGCTCCTTTGAGTAAGTACCAGGGAGCATGATTCCTGGATTCCATGGTAAAAACATATTGAGTTTTATAAAAAAAAAACTGTCTTTTAAAGTGGCTGTACTCTATAATATTCCCACCAGCAGTAAATTAGAGCTTCTGTTGCTCCACATCCTTGCCAGCATTTGGTGTTTTCAGTAGATTGTGGCCATTATCTCATTATAATTTTCATTTCCCTGATGACATATGATGTGGAGCATCTTTTTATATGCTTACTTTCCATTTGTATATCACCTTGTTCAGCAAAAGGTCTGTTAAAGTCTTTGGCTCATATAAAAAAAAATTTTTTTTTAATTGTTGAGTTTTAAGTGTTCTTGGTATATTTTGGATAACAATCTGTGGGAAAAACACACTCCTTCTGTTTTTTTTCTCCTTCACTGCCGTACTATTACTGCTCACAATACTTCTGACACCAGATGTGTGGAGTTTTTTTCCCACACCAAGCTATTCTTGCAGCACCAGCTGGATGTCTTATAATTCAATTCAGCTCTGACACTAACTGGAGTTAGCACAGACTCCACAGGTTAAGGTCTCAGTCCCATGAGACTGCTTCCCACTTCACATGCCAATTGTGAGCAGTAGCTCCCTAGGTTACCCAAACTTCTGTTTGACCTGACTACAAATCAGATGTCCCCATGACCTCCTGCTCCTTGAATTTGATTTGCTAGAATAGCGTGTATTTGGCCAAAGATGGAAAAACAAATCATGTTAATGTTTTGGGATTAAACCAATCTCTTAACAAATTTTGGTAATTTGACACTTCTCTCCCAGTTATACAGAATGATAAGTAGCAAAAGTTGCTGAGTGGCCTTGCGTATACAACTTACTCTCTTGATTAAGATATTAGTAATTTTAATAAGTGTATTTATCTGACCATGTTCTATAATATCCATTTAACAGACTTATGTGTTACGAAATTTAAATAATTTGATAAAAGATCGTTAGAGAAAAAGACTTAATGGTGTAAATTGCATTCTTCGCTAATGTTACCTGGCATCAGTATTATAATATATTGAGATCTTTTTCATATATGATACTGTATTTTCATATGCTGTAGTTCAAATTAAACAGTCTTTTCCCACAAGAAGGACCAAGAAACTTACTTGTCATTAAATCTAACCATTATGTTTGTTTGAGCAAAACCTCACTAATACATACATTTGGGAGTTCTGAGCTTGGTGACTCCCCCAGGGACAATTTGGAATAATGCAATAAATTATAATTCCATTAGTTATCGGCCATCCACCACAATCTAAACATTTTTTCTTCTGTAGGTTAAATGTTAGTCTTTAACAAAATCATGTCTTTCTAAGCCATATTTTCTTCTCTTACCAAGTAATTTTTAGGTCCTAGTTTGGTTTTGGGAAAGAACTACAATACTTTTTGATCACAGTGACAATTTTGTAGCATGTCATAGTGCTTTGGTAACTGGTAGGATCTATACGTGAAATAATTGTCTAGTCTCTGCAGTTTCAGAATAGCCTAAAATGCAATATTTTTTTATATGGCTTAAGTAATTATCCCAGAGCTATTAATACATTTATATTGCTTGAGTTTTCTGATTCTTTCATATGACGGATATGTTCACTATTTTAACCTTCATTCTAAATATAGTGCTATGTTCCACTGAATATAATCTCTTTCTCATCTCTTTAACCTTTGCCAAATGCATATTTATTCTGCATTTGTTTTTTGTCTTCCAAACTTGGTAAAATTACCATAGTTAAAATAAAGTACACTGATCAGTGAACAGAAAGCCAGTGCAGATGGTATATTTTTTTCTGAGAGTTTTTCACTGGTCCTGTAGTGATTCTATCAGAAGTAATATTTTAGCAGTTTTGGCCTGAATGACATTAATTACCAGTACAGATTTTCAATACTTGTAAAAAGATACTTGGTTGTAGTCTTAGAAAGTATCCTTTTAAGTGTTTATCATTTACTCCTTATCATGGAAAATTGGTGAGGTACGCTGATTTTGTTTATTTCTGAAGAAAATTAATTCAGTCGGCAAAGTATGTGGCTGTTTAGTATGACATACCACTATGCTATGCAGCATATTAAAAGGCAACGAAATATAATACACCTTTGCTGTTATAGGAAAATGTGTTAATAACGGTTTTAATTCACAGGTTCAAAATCCAAAAAGGTGGACAATACCAGCAAAGATACTTCACTCACTAATACTGCGGATGTATTGAAAAAAATTGAGGTAAGGTTTTCTTCTTACTATAACAGTGAACTGAAAACTTGTCATACCTCTTTTTGCCGTCTTTAGCCTTTCCACCTTCGCTCACTTTGTAAGAGCATGGATGTGACAGATCCAAGCCCAGCACACAGATAATGGGAAAGGTTTGAACACTGTTGGCTGGGAGATAAGGGGCTCCATCCTGTCCTTCTCCACCACTCACCTGTCACCTGCCTCACCCTCTGTCACCTGCTTCCTTTTCCATTCTGTCCCTATTTTCCCCTTGCATTTGAATTGTGTATGGGAAAGAAATGAGTTACATTCCTCAAATGTGTTTCTTTTAAATATCTTTTAGTTTTTCTCCTATTGTTGTATGTGTAATTTTTTTAATGCTTTTTTTCTGTTGCATGTTAAGTATAAAAGATTCTGCTGAGAGAAAACCATAACTTGTGGAACTTATTTCCATATCTTTTTTTAATATTTCAGAAGCAAAAGATGTAAAATTCAAAAGTTTAATTAACTGAAAATTTACCCTCCCATTTCGTTTCCCCCTGTAGACAACCAATATTACCAGTTTCTTGTATATCCATCCAGATATGTTTTATGCATAGCAAACACAAATTTTCTTCTTTTTCATAAAAGAAGAAAAGATAGCATATACACTCTTGCATTTTCATTTTATCTCTTAAAATATCTTGGAGATGGTTCCCTGTCAGTCTGTGTAGACTTGCCTCTTTTTTTTTTTTTAATTTTTCTTTTGGCTACACTATAAGAATGAACCATAATTTATTTAATCAATACCCTACTGGTGGACATTATGTTTCATGTAGTGTTTCACTATTGTAAATAATTCTGCAAGGAATTTGTTAAGTATGTCATTTCACATGTGTAGGGTCTAGAAGTGGATTTGTTGGGACAGTTGTTATATGTATTATGTAACATGGATAAATATTAACAGGTCACCCTCCATGAGGAGTGTACCAATTTATTCTCTCAGTGCATGTATTACCTTGCACTGATGATGATAGCAGCTTGCACTTACAGAAAACGTTATTTACTGGGCTCTTTGATGAACTATTTATATTCATTAAGACTTCATTACAACAAAGAGAGATGAATATTATTGTTCTTTACTTATAGATGAGATAGGTATTATTGCTCCTTACTTTCAAACTTTAACTTGTCTAGCCAGGTTGGCCAGCTGCATGGTAACAGAAACTTGTATTTTCATTATTTTATTTTGATCAGAACTTCAGCTGGAGATAACGTGTCTGAAAATAAAGCCAAGAGAATTGTTGAAGGAATAGTGTTAACTGTCAGGTTTAACTGTGGTGGGATGATGGATGGGGTTGTAGACCTAGCCAACTTACATTGATTGAACACAGATTCTGACTGTTTGTAAAGCTTCCTGGGAAGAAGTTGCTAAGCTGACATGTACTATAAGGAAGATTGATTTGGACCTCTGAATGTGGTTTCTCATCAGAACAAATAGTTTTCTTATTTCCTGCATTTGAACACCTTTTTCTGTACAAACACTGTTAAGACTAGAGTTTTAAATCTAGAAATCTCAATAAGTTAGCAGTTTTAATAAAGCAAAATTAGCTTGCAGATGACTCTGTTCATTTCTTCAGCAAAAGCAGTTGCAAATTTTATTATAATAAAACTACTGTGGATAGAGGAGTGACACATACTCAAATCTCATAATTAACGTGTGAATCACCAGACACCACTAAACTAGTATTTGAGCTTATTTCTGCATGACATATAGGGAGAACTATAATAGGGTTGCCCTACAGTATTTAAACTGGAAGAACTGTACCCTGTCCATAAATTAACCATTTTTTAAAATGGTTTCTCATTATACCATTCACATTATTCTTAAAACAAATATGTAAAGTAGAAGGATTGAATAGTTAAATCTCTTAAAAGAGAAAATGAACACTAGTAAGTAGATGAACTAAAATTAGTCACTTAATGCAAAAAGAAATAAAGTAATGACACAATCTGTGTAGCTCTTAGATCATTTTTTAAAAATTCCGTATTTTGTTAACTGATTCAAGTATTTTATGGGTTTGCTTTTAGGTCTAGGTAGTAGAAATAAAGATGAGGTTATTTATTTAAAGGTATTTGAGGTGGCAATAATGGAAATGAAGTATGGAATAAATTTTATACTTTAAAAATATTTTTACATAACTGGTTTAAAATTCCACTACTAATTATGAAATAATAGCTAATTGCATGATTTTTCAAATATAGTGCATACCTTGCAAGGAGTTAAACATAGCACTACAGTTCCCTTTTAACTACACCAACTTACAGGTTGTAGGCCTTTTTACTACGGTCAGTAAAATAGAAAAGAAAAAAATCCACATACTAATGTCTTTTGAGGCATTTTATTTGTATGTATGTATTACATAGCTAGAAAAAGAATTCCAGGATTTTCCCTCCTGTGTGTTTTCGTCTTGTTTCTTCATGATCCATGACGCCCACGGAGGTTGTCAGTACCACAAAACCAAACAGACAGAATGGAAGGAGGCTGTTCTGCCATTTTTCTTGATCTTTGAGTTGCACATCAAATCTGGGCCTGATTACTCCACACTTGTTTAACCTTCCTGTGAGGTTCACAACAATTTCCCCAATTCTATGGTCATCAGCAATTTCAAAATTGCCTATTTAACCATGCTTCATCATCACAGTAGGAACTGGACAATGACTCTGGAGCACAGTCTAATAAGAATCTGGAGTTTGTTTCTTTTTTTGGCATTATTGATACTTCTGAGAGCATCAGTCAGGATATTCATGCGCACCATTATGGCGGCACGGAAAGATGGCGCAAAGAGTTGAGTGTGTGATTTATAAACACTTGAAAAGATCTGTAAGTACTATTTTGTTTACTTGCAGTTTTCCAAAGGAACTACATTTGGAAAACTTGCACACATTTTTATTGTAGAAATTCATTACATGGGCAAGGTAGGCCGGTATGAAGATAATCATCTTGGTCTTATTTGTTTTTGTCTCAGTCGGATGAAGTGATAGGAAAAAGTAGAGTTTGAATTTTGATTAGAAACTGAGTTTATCTGATGTAGTCTTCCTATTGCCTTTGACTTTCTTAAATTCAAATTTGAATGTAATAAAAATTTTTTTAAATAAATATCTGAGAACCAATAAAGGAATAGCTAAGTTGTAGTTGCTCCAAATGTGTAAAGTGTGTTTTATTTCTTTATGTAATCTAAGCAAATACTTTTCATAGGGTAGATTATTTGCAGATTTATGAATTAGTGTTCTCATTACTGTTTAAGAATATTCACATCTTAGCTAAAGTGATCTTATGCCTTAATTATCAACATTAATAAGTGAAATTACTGTTGCACCTACCTCCTAAAAAGCTTGTGAAATCCTATCACTTGTGCAAATTAAACATAGAGTAATTTAGTGAATGAATAGTTACAGTAATGAAAGCAGCTCATTTTTTTTCAAACAGAAGAAAATTGTTTATAGTCATAATAGGAATATGAGGATATATTAAAGTTAAATTTGTGTGGTGAAGTTATGGGATGGTAGCATAGTGATTTAAGCAGGTTGGATAAGTGGAACCATCAGTCAATCAAAGCTTTTCTAACTCTGCATCTCTCTCTTGCCTCTGCCTCCTGTAGAGTTGTTTATAAGCACTAATGTTGACCATGACTTGAGTTTCAGTATTTTTTATCAGCCTGCCAGATATATTAAAAAGCAAAATTTCCTAGAAATGGGACATAAATAATGAGGGAGAAAAGAAATGAAAAGACATGCATAATCTGCAAATAGGATAACTTACCCCAATATGACTTGATATTGTTTTACATGTAATTTCACTTATAAACTAAAACGTAGACATTTTGAATTAGTACCATTACATTCTCTTTTCTCCGTTTATGTCAGAAGGAAAACAAAATAATGTTCTGAAAGTTCTTCTCCATAAACTGAGTCAATTCAGTATTTCTGAAGGAGGTATGATAGAAATCATAAAAACAAAGCTCTGTGCGCAAAGCTGATACCTCAGTGTCACCTGGGATCCATTTACAAAGTAACAAAATAAAATACTACTGTCATGATAGGACAGTGAGTTTTTCCTTTCTTGCGTGAACTCACTATTTCCTACAAGGTGTTGATAAAGGAGGATTAGAATAAAGTGATAGGTAACTGTGTTCTTTTGGGGCTGGGCGGGGAGGTCAAAGTGTAATGGTTTCCAAATAAGTTAATGAAGCTCGTTTATAACAGGAATTGGAAAAGAGAGGTGATGGTGAAAAATCAGATGAGGAAAATGAAGAGAAAGAAGGAAGCAAAGAGAAAAATAAAGAAGGCGATGATGATGAGGAAGGTGATGCTGCAGAACAAGAGGAATACGATGAAGAAGAGCAAGAAGAGGTAATGGTCTCTTTTGGAAGGGTAACAAAGTAACTAAGGTTAAGAATTATCTAATAAGGAATCAGGCATACGATACGGATTAAGGTGAACAAACAAAAACCAAGTTGATGGGAACCGAGGGTGTATTATCACTGGCATCAATTCCTTTGTATCAAGACAGTCAGTATAGTATTGAAGTGACAGTGATGCCAAATTGAATATGTGATGTAAGTAACTTTGAGAAACATGGCACATTTCAAAATAAGCTGGGATCAACCCAGATATTTTTGAGCAGGGTAACTCTGTTGGTCACTGTTTCATTGGGACTATGTACAGACCTCAGGCAGTCATCCTAGGCTGACAGTTTCTTCTCCAGTTCAGTGACCTTTTGTCTTCACTTCATTTCAGCTTCTCACACCACACTCTGAATCTTTACCTGAAACTCCTCCAACTATGAAATCTTTATTATATGCTTTAATTATTTTGCATTATATTTCAGATTCTTTTGAAATTTATATTGGTGTAAAGAGAGAGATACAGATCTATTTTTATCTGTTTCCAAATAGCTGCTAACCTCATTTATTAAATAATTAGCTTTCTTTGTTGACTTGAAATTCTCCTCTATCAACTGTTAGAGGTATTTCTGGACTTTGTTCCATTGATCTATTTATGAACCATCACGGAGGTGTTCCAGTGACTAGAATCTTCTGATTATTTGTTAATACTTTTAGGGCACATTACCCTTCTTTTTCAGGATTTACCTGAGTATTCTTTGTTTATTCTCCCAGATGAATTTTAACTCTAAACATTTTAAAATTAAACGTATCATATTTGCCTCCAGTTTTCTTTCCGGATCATTCAGTTTATTGCTGCATTCTGACTTGATTTAAAGTGTCAAACCTTCTGGTCCTTTTGTCTCTATTTTATTTCCTTCCTTAAGGAGCTCTTGCTCAACTTTCAACTTTTTTCTTGCTATTGCTCTTGTTCCTTGGTCTCCCAGCAAATACTCTAGACCGTAGCAACCTCTGATCAATTCCATTGTCTCCCTCTTTTCCCCTCCAAACCTGCCTATTGAGCTTCTCTGAAGATGCCACTTAAAAAAAAATCACGTGTCCCATTTTGCTGGCTAACATGTTTTCTATTTCTCCTGTCAAGTCAGTTCTCCATAGCAAGTATTTTAGATCATCTTTCTTCATAATCCTTCTCCTTGACTACTTTCTCTTTCGCTTGTAGCAGATACAGTACCTTAATACAGAAAATAAAGCCATCAAGAGAAAACTCTTTTATTTCATGTCTTCCGCTTTCAAAATAACTGTCTTCTCTCCTCCTCCTCTTTTTTTATCAATGGAAGAAATGTTCTTCATCCTATTTGAGGCTAATTGTCCCACCCTTTTTGGGGACCTTACTCCTCATGTCCTTTCCTTTTCCATATTTTCCTCCTCTCAACCATGCCATGCCTCCCCCATGCACTGGCCTCAGGCTTCAGCCAGTTTCCAGACATTGTTGGGTTTCTTGGCACCACAGAAGCCAAGCCAACTTCCTGGAAATGATAAGGGTCTTAGCCAGATACAGAAATTTACAGTATTTAGGGAAGACAAAGTAATAAAAAAAAAATCTGAATAATACAAGTTACCTTTCTTGTATTATTTATATAAATTTATATATAAAATCCTATCATCCAGATACTAAGTAAGTTGATATTCAGGAGACTCTTTTTTGGGAATAGCCTCTATTTCTTACTTTGTAATAATTCTTGCTGTAAACAGTAGAGATATGGAGATTAATTTTTCATTGTGACTGATTTCAGTTATGTACTAAAATCTAGTGACTATTAAAATAAACAGCCCAGCCTTAACAATGATCAATGCATAGCTATACGATCTTTTCATCATTTATCCACCACTTCGCTCCTGTCCCCTCACTTCAAAACCCATCTGCCTTGGGTTATTGTATAGCAAATCTTACGCATTGTATCATTTCATCCATAAATATCTCAGTATGTACTAAAAAAAAGGGGGCTCTTTAACAGTGTAACAGTATCGTTATTATACCTAACACAATGGAATATAATTTCCTTAATAATCATTAAATGCTATATAAGCCAGTGTTCAAATTTTTTCAATTGTCTCAAGAAATTGTTCCAGTCAAAATCCAAACACAGTCCATATATTGCAATTGGTTAGTGATTTCCTTTCTTTTAATCAACATTTAAAATGGACTTTTGAATTTTTTGACAGAAAGCAGAAATATCTTGAGTCATTTACATAGATAATAATCCTAAGAATTGGAATATTCTCAGTGGCTAATCCCTCAGCCAAATGAAAGTTGAGTTGCCCTGGATGGGATGTAATATGGCATCCTCAAGTTATTTGTTTTTAAGATTTTATTTATTTTAGAGAGAAGGGACTGGAGGGAGAAGGAGAGGGAGAGAAACATTGATTAGTTTCCTCTCATATGCCCTCAACTGGGAACCTGGCCCATAACCCAGGCATGTGCCTTGACCAGGAATCGAACTGATGACCTTTTGGTTTGCAGGACCACACCCAATCCAGTAAGCCACGCTGGTCAGGGTGGAATCCTCAAATTTTGATTTGGTTCCTTGAGTCCTTTTTTTGATAGAAAGCAAAAATCCCTCTGCTTCTGCTCAGTTGGACATAGTGACTGAAAACCTCCATTCTGATGTGGTTTAAGGTTAATGTAAATTGGCTTTGTTTCTTGAGTGTTTATATTTGTTTGAAATAAATGTTCAGTGGTGTAGCTAACTAAACCATGTGTCATCCCATTGAGGTGGAGTGAATTAAATGGGTCATTTCTCCCAAAGTGTAATGGGCACCCCTTCATGTTCTCTTAGTAGGTTGGGGTCTGAGAATAGCAGGAGGTAGAGTCTTGAAGAAAGCAGCACAGGTAGATGTGAGTGAAAACTAATGTTGTTTTCTAAGCAGATGGCATAGCAGAGACTTGTTTTAAGCCCGGTATATTTTATTACCAACATTAGGTATTTATAAACTTAAAGGGACAGCCTACATTATGATCCTTATTAATAATGTTACTATTTATTTATTTTAATGTTTACCAAGTAATCTATCATTTCACTTAGGAAAATGACTACATTAATTCCTACTTTGACAATGGAGAAGATTTTGGCGCAGACAGTGATGACAATATGGATGAAGCAACCTATTAACTATTTCTCAAAAAATATTTTTATGATACAGCTTCTGAACATTTGGACAGACCTATTTCCTATCTTATTTCTGAAAAGGAATGAGTAAGTATTTTAATTTTGTTCCTGTTTTGTTGGACAGTATTTTTTACCAAAATACTCAGAAGCACTTTGAGTTTACATACTAGTTACTTTACCAATAAGTCTGACACTCTGGCATTCCTTCTCAACACCTCTTTATCCCACTTAAGTATTCAAGTGAAAATTTTGTTTTCGGTTTTGTTTGGATTAGAATGTGCATCTTTTAATCTGTATTTTCATACTTGAACAAATTCTTATTTAACTGCTGACCTCATCATAATGGATTTCTGTAACCTGAAAGTTGATTTAATACTGCACATGGAGCACTTTAAAAACAAAGAAACTTGAAAATAATTTTACTTTTTACCTTTCCATGGTATGTTCTATGCTACTATATTATGATTGCATAAACCTACCTGAGCTCTTACAAGTGCATATGAGATGAAAAGTGTAGTGATCAAAAATATACACAAGGAAAAACACTAATCAGAGCTGTATAAATCTCACAGCTTACGTCTCAGCTAGTACACAGACTCAGGATGAATATTAAAAATACTTGAATTTGGAGCTATCTTCATATCATACAGTATATGAATTAATCATCATCTCACTGTAATAAGTTTGATATTTTGAATAGTTGGGCTATGAAAAATTAGACTGAGATATCCTATTTAAATTTGTACTTTACAAAAATATTAAGGTCTAGTCATATAAATCTCACTGTAGAATGAATGTGTGAAATCTGTGAGGTATAATGGCCTTTTATATTTCAAAGGACCCATTGCTATCTAATTGATTTATGTAACAGTGCAGAATAAAACTCAGGTCACTTTGAAATTAAGATTAATCTTTTTTTTTGTTTAGTTAAAAACTAGCTCCCCTGACTTTTTATATTGGGGGTATGGGGGGAAACCTGAAAACCTTAGCCTTAAAGACTCACAAATGCCAAAGATTTTGAAGGGAATTCATATTGCGTGTTTCAAAATGATTTATTAATATTATCTACCAAAGCCCTGGCTGGGTAGGCTCATCCTGATACTTCAAGTTCGCCAGTTTGAGCTCTGCTCAGGGTTCATACAAGAATCAACCAATGAATGCATGAAAAGGTGGAACAACAAATTGTGTTTCTCTCTCCCCTTTGCCCCCCTCTAAAATCAGTGAATAAATAAAGACTATTTCCTATCAAAAGAAATCAGTTTATTTTTCCCTTTTGGGAAGATATCACCCATTACCCCTAAGCTGAGAATCAAGAGCCCTAGACTATTTCTACCTTTACAATTAATAAACTCAACCTGGAAATTGAGCTTGGTCTTCTGTGCCTTAGTTTTCTTCACTCGTGAACAATTTCCTATAAAAATTGCTTAAAGACCGACCGAAATTTACCATATCCATTCATCCTCTTAGCATATCGAAATAATCAGTTTATTTAATTTCAGTCTGGCCCTCTAAAAAATTGTAGCTTGTAAAGTGGTTGAAAACATTGTTTTGAGAAATGTATGTTCGTCACAAAATACTTTGTAATCTGATTTTCCCATCTTGTACTCTGGTGGGGAAATTTTATATTGTCTTATGCCTATTTGTAACATAGCTTCCTCAGGAAAAAGATCATTTTCAAATGTAATACTTCCTCAGATAATTGAAGATGAGTATGAGGACCATTAGTAGTGCAGTGCTTCGTTGAGCATATGTGAATTATTTGTTTAAAGGTTATAAAAAATTTTAAATATTCTAAAAAAAAAATGAGTAAGTCTATTTTAAAACAGCAATCTACTGTACTTAAGAGTAAAAAAAATCTCAGACTTTCAGTTGTAATGGGCAAATAGTCATTTAGGATTAACATAGGTGTTGTATTCTCTCAGCTTATTACCTTAGGCTAATTTATAACGCCTTATGTCTGTAGTTCTGTGTACTTGCTTTATTGTAAATCTGCAAATAACTACTTGAATAGTGCAAATACACCAAAGATACTGCTTTTTGGCCCCCCGCCGCCCCCCCAGCCTTCAGTCTGTCTCCATTTTAGTCCTGCAGATGGTAAGACAGCCCTTTGGGCAGGGGTTTGCTTTGGGAAGCCCCAGCCATTTCCCCATTATGTGCATTCTTCCCCTTTTGGAAAAATCTCTACAAGTTTAAAGTAGACTAATTGTGAGAATAGGCCGGAAGTATTTGGGAGATTTCTTTTCCAGTATGAATCTTGTTTTTATGGCTTAAAATCTCAGAGACTGAAGTTATTTCATAGGAAGGTAACTTTTAATGCAGAGATAGTGTCTTATATATGAAAAAAGTATATACTTGTTGGTGAAGTGTCTTTAAAATTGCTGCCTAAAAAGCAGTACTGTTTTGTTGCTATAATGCTTATTTTTTGGTATTTGTTTTCATATTAAATTTTTACAAAATAAAATTGTGTCCTGTTTTACATTAAGATGTCTTATTTTGAACCTCCTTAAATTATTTGGTAGAGAAAACTAAATTTAATACATATTTTACCTGGTAAAATAATTCTATTAGGCAGGGATGCCAGCATCAAATATTCTTGAACCATCAACAAAAGAAAACTCTAGGTGATTGAAGTCGTGATAACAAACTAAAAAATTTGGCAGTGTAGCATCAGCATGATCATTGGCATCACAGATTGACTGACAATGGATACGAGAGAGCAGTAACACATTCAGTGGATGTTAACTTTTCCTTCCCCGCTACCTCAAATGTACATTATCAGTGGCTTGGCCTTAATATGGTATGACTAAAAGCTCTGTAGTAAAAAGTTTATTTAAAAAAAAGTAATTAAATATAATTTTAAGATCAAGATGATTGTAAAAATAGAGGAAAAAAGTAATACATCATAAATTCCTCCATTAAATAAAAGCTCCAAAGTACTTTTTCAGTTTTTTGGTACTGTAATTTAAGTGGAAAGGTTTTTTTGTTTCATAATAAAATTTACACATAAATAGAGCACATCTTTTATGACTTATCCACAAATTGCTAAGTAGTCCTGGACCCTGCCTAAGTTTTGTTCCCTGATATCCAAGATCTCCTCAAACATTTATCTGAAATTTATTTTCATTTAATTTTATTTACATCCTGTAAGTAATACAGTGGATTTTGTTTTGGTTTAACAAGGGAGAAATTTGGGTAAACCTTTGGCAATTTGATCTATCTTAACATAGTATCTTTATATCAAATAGTTTGACATAGGACAAAAGGTATGCTTTACTCAATTAAATTCACCAGCTTCCATTTTAGATTGAATAAAATAAAAACTTTATTTTGAAGATCTTTTAAAATATGAAAAATAAGGGGCAAAAAGATTTAAAAACCAGTTTTACAAATGTACATGCTAACAATGTTCTACAATTCCATCTCACATTTGTATAAAATATCACACAAAAGGTTTACAGTGTTTGTATATATAAAAAGAATTAAATATTGCAGTTATTTCTATGATCTAACAGTGCAATATGCACATACTCAGAAGAAAAATAATGACTTCCTGAGGAATATTGTTGTAGTTCAAAATGATTCCCATCGTAAAGCACCATTTAAATACTTCAAAAAACTCCACCTTTACCCTATAGCACTTTGACTGGACCTTTGCTTCATTGTATTTCTAAAATAAACTCCCACTGTATCCTTCATATTCCAAAGTAGGTAATTTTATAAGTAGATACCTTTAAAAAGAGCTGATTATTAAGTAATGAACCATTATGGTTCATTTCAAGAACTCTTCAGGCCACTGAATAGCAAATAGAGCCCAGAAAACGAAAAGCTTTAAACAAAAAGCCCTCTGGTTAACGTTGCAGTCTTCTAATTCTTAATGTGGCCAGCAGACTCTATAATAGACAGTTTATCTTAAATGGCATTCATCAGTTCAAAACAAACTTAACCATTTGTACCCAATCTAAAAAAATATCTGTTCTCCCCCTCCCACCCCCCAAATAGCAGATTTGGCTTCACTTGTAACTCCAACTTTTAGGTGAACCAAATTCAGTGATTCACACAGTTCTGTTAATTTTGTACTTGCATGCACACGTATATATGTATTTTTTTCAATGTGAGCCTCAAAGTAAATTCAGATAAGGATTTCAACAGAATTAAAATTCACAATTTTTCTTATTTTATTAAATTTTACAAAGTAATCTGCATTGGCTACAAATTTTGATGTATTTAATACTTTCTAAAAACTAAAATTATTCTGTATCTATTGAATGCTTAGGAATTTCTTTTAAAAATGACAATTAGAATCTATAATTCTATATATAATAGAATTATATAATTCAGAATATACAGAAAAAGGGAACTGCCTCATTATGTCATAAGGATATTTTCTTCAAGGAATGGGACATTAACAAGTACATAGTATATACCTCACTACTTTAAAAATAACTTATCCTGTAAATCAGACCTCTCTATCACAATTTCAAAGTACCATTAGCAAAAAGAATCACCGACTTTTCGGCAATTTCATCAATTTGATGTAAACAAAATTCTTCAGAGGACATCTAGCCTATTCTAACCTAAAATACTCTGTTATTTTCTTCCCTAAAACTTGATTTCTCAGCAGGCTTAATAAATACAATGTAAACTGACCAAGTTAACATTGAGCATAAATTAGACCATACTCCTCTCTTCAAGATGCCCAAGGCACATTAAAACAATTTTTTAAAATTTTAAACTAAGAGTTACTTTAAAAAAAAAAATCAATTTGCTGCAACTTCCCTATTAACACTTTTTGGTAATTATCTAAGGTCCTCAAATACACGCAAAGGCTTTAATATTTGACTTCCGTCTTTTATACTTTGCTATTTAAGGTATATAAACCTGGTTTACCATACATATTTACTCACCCCACTTTGTATCAAGACTGGAGTTTGAAATATAAAATGACTGGTCAAATAGCTGAAACAATATTAGGAAATATGCCCAGAAAATGAGGTGGTTTTATAGATCTCAAGGTACATACTTTATTATACACAAAACAGGCAACCCAGACTCCACCAGATCTTGCTTCTAATGAATCATTCTGGTCACATTTTTAAAACACATACTTTTAAAAATTAAATGATGGAATCAGTATGCGAATGCATATCTAACATATCCATAGCAGATCTTCAAAAGTGGCACTATCAAGCCCTTGACCATATACCTTTGGCCTCTTGTTACCCGATGTTATGCTATAGGTTCAAAGGAAAAAAAGGTTTAATTGGACATTTTCTCTTTGAAAAAGAGGTTAAGGGTTCAATAAATCAAGCAATGTGTCTGTTCGTTGCTAATGTCAAAGGTATCTTTACTCCTGCTTTTGCTTAATGAACCATTTTCTCCAACAAACCTCAGGCAGACAAAAATTTGTTTTGACCCCATTAATTTGTGCTTAATGGTGAAAGGAGAGATGAATTTATACAATCTTATAAATCCTATTGAACCATCTGAAATAATGCCTAATTTTAATTCTAAAAATATTAGCTTACATATTTTGTAAGGCATTAAATGTAATTAAGGCATGTTACCACATGTAGCACAGCAACAACTCATCACAGTATATAGGGATTTTCCAAATAATGCCAACCTGTACATGTATAACAATTTTCATCAAAGAATTACAAAAGTGCTTTCAAATATCAGAGGCAAGTATAATGACCTAAAAATCAGAAGCTGAGGCAGCATTCTTTTAATAGACAAAGATTACTTTAGGTTCTTTACCTAATCCAGTGTTCTATTGACCAACTGGCAATGTTCAACCCTGACACATTATTTCAGAGCTTAAATATAGTATTTAATCTCTATCTTAGCCTCTATGACGCACTACACATTGCTTTCCCACTTATGTGTCTACCTAATGTCTTCATAGCATATGTGCTAAACTTGTTTTCAGAAAGTTTTAAAATGAAGCATTAAGTATGTGCTAACTAAGTAATTGAAGAATCAAACATTTTAGCAACTAAATATTTTAATGGTTCACATTAGTAAATTTTTTTCAGTTGCAGATAACTGGTGCTATTATTATTCTGCTTAATAAACATTAATAACCTTAAACCAAAAAATAATTAAATAAAATTTAAACATTAACCCATCTTGAATAAATTATATTTTCCAAGTTGAGAACTTCCTGGACACATTTAAATTCATTTCTGCTTGAGCACTGATACAACAGATACATAGATTTACTGTTCTCATTATCAACTAGCAACTGCAGGGATTTTATACTCAACCCATTTGTAAATGGCTCAAAAAAGTGAAAAACAAAAGCATCTTCAATCTCCTTAAATTCTGCCTTTGAAGTGGTTATTGAATAAAACTGATTCACCACAATCCAGAAACATGTGATCACAAACACTAATTATGAGCTAATTGCTATGTTTTGTATTGAGCAGCAGGAAACTGAGAATTGTGATTATAGAGTTTATGATCGTCTTGTTGGCCAGAAGGTATTCCTTTAGTTGGAGCAATTCCATTTTCCAGTTCTCGCTGCTGTGATGGGGGTGTGACTCCTGAATGCAAATGTGAAGAATCCACTGTTGAATGGTGACTAACATCCACTTTAGCTAAAATTTCATAATATAGCAAATAAAATACTGGTGTTATTATACCCACTATCAGCATTATCACTACAGCTGTCCACCACCCTATTCCCCAGTCTGCTCCATAATAAGGATCCTTACGTTGAATATTTTTGTTATCAGGTTCAAAACGTATTTGTTGTGCTGTTAAGGCAGACACCACTTCATTGAGGTTCTCTCGTTTGGTGTCTGTACATTTTACTAGTTGTTCTATGTCTCGGTCTACTTCTTTTAAAAAGCTACCAGCTGACTCACTGGAAGAGAGAGAATCATTAAGTGACGAAATTTCCTGTTGCTCTGGAACGTACTGAATAGATGAAGGCCGTGAAGCCTGTCTTCCTTTTGGAGGATGAAGTGTTTCAGTCAATGAACTAAACTTTTTTACTGGAATTTTGACAGACCTAAGGGCAAAGAAGTCTTGATCGCTGATGAGATTGTTAACCCTCTTGATATCTGCTACCTGTAAAAATAATAATAGTAATAATAATAATTCTAAATCAAAATAGAGGTAGCACTATTCACTCATCCTACTTATTTTTGGAGAGGAAAAAAGTTGACCTTAGTTACTGGTGGTATTAAGTTATCACACCCAGAGATTATATTTTACTTGTGGATAACAATTTTACACCACTTTTGATCTACAAGTCTTAGGAACTCACCAATTCACTTTTTACATCTCCCATGTTAGTAACACTAATACTAGATATTGAAGTAGATTGTAGGTTCCTATTTCTCTTTTTATATACATCATGCACAAATACCACCCTTTTACTGCTTGTAAACAATTTGTGAAGGAAGGTTTATAGATACTTACATTCTTTTTCCAATGTGGCAATTAGGAATATAGGCAAATGTCAACTTACTTAACTAAAACTACCATAGTTTATCAAAACTAAGATGCCATCAACCCAGGATGCGCCACTATTTTATATCTCATTAAGGGGGAAAAACCCACCAAATATTGAGGATGCCACCATTCCAATGTCAAAGGTGCTAAAATGTGTGAAAGAGCTTATCTTAGAATTGATAAAATATATAATTTATCTTGTTCACTTATCTTATGAAGCCCTTTTCCCAAACTTACTACTGTAAATGCATTCTTCAACTACTGCCAAGATCAGTCATTTGTATAAGCTTTCCCTATATATTATACAGTCCTCAACCTATCTGTATATCCTGTACACCTGCCATTGTGGTTAGACATAGTATGGGATAGTATTTCTCAGATTATCAATTACTATGCTAGGCTCTCCCACTTTTTAAGTTGTTAGTCCCATTCGTCATTTCCATCAAAGCTGTGACCTAAGCTCTAACCATTTATCACCTGTTGATGTCAGAGAGGTAAAGTGAGTCTAGGATAAAACTCACTTTTTGGTTAATATTTCTATTTTGGTCAACTCAATAGATAATGATGCCAGTTCATTGCGATGTGGAACACTATGGAAGGAGGAAAAGAATGAAGGCAAATTTTACACATGTTGCCTTTGAGGTGCCTTAAATAAACTAGTGGAAGATGTCTAACAGGTAGTTATAGATACTATGTCTGAAATGCAGATGAATGATCTTAGCTAGAGATATATATTTGTGGATTACCAGCAAAAATGGTACTGAAGTCACAAAAGGACACAGATGGATTCACAAGAAAAAGATGAGAATAAAAGGTGACATAGGAAAGACCTCTGAGGAATGCCAACTTTTGAGGGGTATGTTGAATAAGAGAAACCCACAAGGGAGAGTAAGAGTGACCAGGAAAGCAATATATGATGGTAGTTAAAAGCACTGACTATCTGGGTTTGAAGCATGGCTCTGACATTTTCTATAGCTGTATGATTTAGGGCGACTTGTTTAACCTCTCAGTTTCCACATATGTAAAATGACAGTAATAATAGTACTTATGATATATGATTATGGTAAAGATTAATTAATTGAAATGTATGAATGACATTTAGAATAGTGATATATAGTATGTTATGCAAAAACTGTTTGCAAATATTAATAGTAGGAACATCAGAAACCTGCAGTATCAAGGTCAAAGAAGGTTTTTAGGAGGAAGTGGTGAACTGGATCAATGGCAGATTACTGATCAAGTCATATGAAGACAGTTCTTGTTTGAAAAATCAATTCCCTTGAAGTGTGTATGTGGGAGAGGATTGAAGAGTAACTAGGATATGAGAGACAGTAAAGATAAAGGGTCCTTTGTCACTTTACTACCTTGAGATTGTTTTTTTCTTAAGACAAAGGAAGGTCCAACAAAACACAAAGGCAATCAAATGAATAGGAAAAGATGTCTGCAAACAGCTGATAAGGGATTAATATCCAAAATATATAAAGGGCTGATACAACTCCACCAAACAAACAACACAATTTTAAAAATATGGGCAGAGGACCTAAATAGACACTTCATACACATGGCCAACAGATATATGAAAAGATGTTCAACTTGACTAGCTTTTAGGGAAATGCAACTCAAAAGTGCAATGGGGTACCACTTCACGCCTGTTAGAATGGTTATTATCAATAAGACAAGTAAAACAAGTGTTGGAGAGGTTGTGGAGAAAAAGAAATGCTCATTCAATGCTGATGGATATGGAAACTGATAAAGACATTAAGGGAAACAGTATGGAGGCCCCTCAAAAAATTAAGAATAGAAACACCACATGACCCCCAACACCTCTTCTGGGTATCTTCCGAAGAATTTGAAACTATTTGCAAAGATTTATGAACCCCTGCATTCACTGCAGCATTATTCACTGTGGCCAAGACATGGAAACAACTGAAGTGTCCTTTGATGCATGAATGGATAAAGATGTGGCACATATATATATACAATGGAATACCACTCAGCCATAAGAACAAATGAAATGCTACCATTTGAGACAGCATGGATGGATCTTGAGAATATTATGCTAAGCCCAATAAGTCAGACAAAAAGTCAAGAACCATATGGTTTCACTCAGGTGTGAGATATAAAACTGAAAGCAACAAATGAACAAACAAGAAAAACAAACAAAACTCAGACACAGACAAAAGTATGGTGGTTACCAGAAGAAAGTGGGGTGAGGGGATGAAATATATTGTGACAGAAGATTTGACTTTGGGTGGTGAGCACACAATGCAATACACTGATGATAGATCATTGAAATTGTACACCTGAAACCTATATAATTTTATTAACCAATGTCACCTCAATAAATTCAGTTACCCCCTCCGCCAAATTCACATTACTAACCACAAAGCCTGACCTTATTTTCTTTATATATTCTTTTGCTTGGTTATATTCTAGTAGCTGCTCTTTCTGAGCTAGGCTTCCAAGGTTTAGTGCCTAACTAAGTACTCTGAATAGTCCTATTTTCTGTTTTACTACATTGCTTGAAAGCATTTAGGATTCCAACCTTGGACTTTTTGGGTTCTTATTACTGTTATATTTTTAACAATTCCTATGACTGAACATAAGCGGAGTACAGCACTGACTACTGTATTTTTTAAATAATAAATCCTTTGGTAAGGCTAATCTCTTTTTTCACTACTTGAGCATTGCTTATCTTAACTCGCTTATTCTGTTTCAACACTCTTCCCACTACTATGGCCAATGTCATCTTTCCTCTAATGTTAAGCTAATTGCCTTTCATCATTCATTTTAAATGAGGAATCAGCTAATGGATCATGTGATTACTCCTGATACATTTTCTCCTGGTTTCTGCTCTATTCTTACTAACAAACATTTTGGCCTAAGCCCTGATCATCTCCATTTGAACTCTTCCAATGCCCCCTTTCCTGGGTCCCCTCCATTTCACCAGCACGCTCCCCCGTCATTTTGCACCACTTTTGTTAAAACCATACAGCGGTGGTCTCTCACTCTAGGGGTCCAACTTTTCCTCAGTTATCTCGAAGTGCTTCACCCCAATCGGTTTGTCACACTCATTTCTGAAACACCTATTAAATTTCCTGCTGTCTAGTTTATTTCCTCTTTGAAATCTTCTCCACATCTTTTCTACTTTCTCCTTCTCACTAACCTCACTGAAACTATGACCTATTTTTAATCATTCAGCCAGCATTTCAAATTTCTGTCCTTCTAAAGAAAACTGTCCAGATTTATGAAAGGAAAACGAATGTCTATGTAATGGAATTAGACCACACTCATCTCTTGGATCTTCACCTTCGTATTTTAAGACTTGCCCCAACTTAAAATCTTGATTACTTTACACCACTGTCCTTTTAAGGCACATTCGGTAATTCTCAGTGGTCTTACTTCTATACAAACCACGTATTCATGTTTATTTGCATTAAAAAAATTATTTAATAATGATATTACCATACACTGATTGCCAAATATGTCCAAACCCCAGCTCTTCTGACATCAAAAAATGCATTTCAATAACATTTTATTATTTTAAATCATAATTTATGTTTTGATACTCTGATTTTAAATAATCTCAATAATTACTCCACTCAGAAGAAAACAATACATAGAACCTTATGGTGAAAGGACATTTTTTAAATTCAATTTAAATTTATATACATGTAAGTTTATAAATATGTGTTTCTATTTCAGAAACTATGATAGGTAATCATAAAAGGTTTTCAAATATAAAAGTACTTTACATTATAAAAGTTTCGGGGGGCAAGGATAAAAATATCCAAGGAGAAAAAGTGATATAAAATTTCATGCTTATAAAAAAAGTATATATAAAATATCTATATTTTTTTAAGTGCATTATTTCAGGTAGCAAATCCTAAATTAGTATTTAGAATTCCATACATTTAAAGACTATTTTAACAGTCTTATTTTACATATCAATACTGACAATGTGATAGAAATTATATCTTTTGTGACTACATTAAGTTATTAGCAAGTATTTAAGAAGTTTACTTTAAAAATGCAAGCAGGCACATAGTACGTATATTTCAAAATTCTATTGGGAGTATGAGAACAAAACATCTCCACATCCATGTGTTAATGTACATGAAAACAGATTCCATACTTATAAAGCAAGGTAGAAATGACAGAGATAAAAAAATGGGTTTAAACACTTTAACATCTACTAAAATGAGAAACAAATCTTTCCTTTTATCTATTGATACCACTTTTGGGAATCAAATCTACAGAAATAAAAGTATCGCCATTTAAAGCTATAGTTGTGATAATATTCACAGCACAATGAAAAAACATGGAAAATCCTGACCATCCTTGAGCATGAAAATGGCTTAACAATTATGGTATGTTCATATATGGAAAATTACATAGCTATATAAAATAATGAGTTAGATCTGGAAGGCTATGAGAGAATGTCTATGATAAAGTAAGAAATGAAGAAGGAAAAGGAAGCTTGTGGAATAATAGGCATGGTATAAACCAATCTTAAGAACACAAAAATCACCAGCCTCCCAAGTATTTTATGTATGTATTCTTAAAAGCACAAAAGAGGTATGAAAAGATTTATAAATGTGTTATCTCAGAAAATTAGGGCACAGTAAAACTTCTTTATGTATTTCCACATTCTCTTACAACTTGGATGAGAAGAAAATGGTAACCCTTTGGGTGTTTTTCAATACTGAAAATAGAATCACAAATTTAGAAAAAACAAGAAATTCAACTTTTACTTAAAATTTAAAAAGTTAATATCCACCAACATGAAACAGATTTCTATGGAAAGAAGAAAAAGGGGGAGGGAGGCAAAGACAAGATAAAACACACATAATATATTTCAATTTGTGCTATGAACAAATAATTCATTTTAGATTGCATTATGCAAAATCAAATTAAAGCTTACCGTACAACAGTACTGAAGTGCTATTGCATTTAAAGTATCTCCTTCCTGTATATCTTTTGTTAATACTATAATGTCATCAAGTTTATCTCTTGATGTACTTCTTCGGATTTTCTCTTTTCCTCTGGATCGGAGCTCATAAACTTCAGCATCCTCTTCCAACACATCATTCTCTGTACAATTTCCAAATGCATGTACTTGACCACTCGAAAGAACTCCTGGAAGAGGAAAACGATTCTGATGCCTCCCTGCCATAATGTCAAAACCTGGGAGGGTCGGAGGGAGAAGGCAGAGAAAACTTTGAAATACAGCTGATCCACTTAACTGATTTTACATGAATTTAACATTCAGAACACTTTATATTTTGTTTTTTTAAAAGAATGGTTTTAGTTACTTCAAAATTCAGGTTCAAGTTTTATAACTGCTGAAGTACAGTGAATATATCTGGAGCAGAGACAAAGGAATGGGACCGAAGGTAATCCATTCTGATACACCATATATCACAAAACATGTTAAGGTGATTACATTTTAACAAGCACAAATTGCTCTTATCTTTTTTTAAAGTCAAAAAATTAAGTTCCCCTTACTTTGAATATGTGAATAATATAATTTTATATTACCTTAAAATCTTGGGATTATATATACACACAAGTTATAGTTCTGATGGAATCAATACTATACCTGTTTTATAGGTACACACACACACACACAAATACTTTCACAAACCCAACACATTTTGGCTTGTTCTGCATTTTGAGTTCAAGTGGGGTTGAAATAGCTTTTGTACTAGCTACCTACCTCTGTGGATCAAGCTGACAGTAATATTTATATTTACTACAGTAAGTGACATTAGATAGGTCATAACTTTGTTCTCCGCCAGGGATTTTTCTTCTCTTGAAGCTTTTCACCCAACTTTAACTTATCAAAGTCTTCCTCAAACTCAATTTACAGTTCATAAACATCGTGAACAGATTTTAGGTCACTATATTCATTTCTACTCCATAAAAGACATTGTTAAGACTGACTGAGAGCTGACTTAGGTTAAAAACATTTATCAATGAATACCTTTTGTTTAGTTGTATAGTCACTCTCAACTCTCATTCATCAAGTACTGATGTATTCTCATTAAAAATGAACAATATGAGAACAAATTTTTCTATAGTCACAGTTTTAGCTTCATATTAATTGTAGACATAAAAATAGATCACTTTCAGTTATTGTTGTGAAAGACTGAGACATGGACAGGTAGTAAGACATAAAATGCCTAAGAATAATGTGGCTCTGATACAAACAATACAAAGAAGTTGAGGATCATGCCAAGATTTCTGATTGACATCACTGAATAAAATGGTGGTGCCATTCTCTAAGGTACGAAACACTGGAAGAAGAACTTGGGGGTAGGGGCAGCAACTACGATTATAAACTTCTCAGAGATGGCCAAAATGAAGGTCAAATAGCCCAGTGGATTACATAGTAAGATTAAAAAAAGTCTGGGTTAGAGATATAATTTTATGACTCATATTGCACACAGGTGGAAACTTGAAACTCTGGGTACAGATTAGATTACCTAGAGAGAGTGTAAAGTAAGAAAAGAGGGTCTAACACTCAAACTCCCAAAGAAGTTAGATCCAAGAAGAAACATACCAAGGCACATCATAATTAGGTTATCCAAGATTAAAGATAAGGCGTATCTTAAAAGCAGCAAGAGAAAAGGAGAGAGTTACCTGCAAGGGAGTTCCCATAAGACTAGCAACTGATTTCTCAAAAGAAACCTTACAGACAAGAAGAGACTGGAAAGAAATATTCAAAGTCATGAAAAGCAAGGACCCACATCCAAGATTACTCTATCCAACAAAGCTTCATTTAGAATGAAATGGCAGATAAAGTGCTTCCCAGATAAGGCAAAGTTAAAGGAATTCATCACCACCAAGCCTTTATTATATGAAATATTAAAGGGACTTATCTAAGAAAAAAAGATCAAAACTATGAACAGTACAATGACAACAAACTCACAACTATCAACAACTGAACCTAAAAAAACAAAACAAAACAAAAACCTAAGCAAAATACTAGAACAGGAACAGAATCACAGAAATGGAGATCACATGGAGGGTTATCAGTGGGGAGAATGGGGGGAAACGGTACAGGGAATGAGAAACATAACTCGTAGGCACAAAACAGACAGGGGGAGGTAAGAATAGTACAGGAAACAGAGATGCCGAAGAACTCGTATGTATGACCCATGGATGTGAATGGAGGGGGGGCCCACCGTTGAGGGGGTGCAGGGCAGAGGGGGATAAAGGGAAGAAAAAAATGGGACTGTAATAGCATAGTCAATAAAATATACTTTAAAAAAAGAAAAGAGGGTCCAAGATTGTGCCTTGAAGAACTGCTACATTTAGTAGCTGGGTGAAGGATCATCAGCATGCAAAGAGGATGGAAAAGGAGTGTTTAGAGGAGGAAACAGTATCTTATGGAAGCCAAGACAAAACAATCTCTCAAAAAAAAAAAAAAAAAAAAAAAGGACTTCAGTTGTGAATAGTATGAACAAGTACCAAGTGAAAAAGAGAAAAAAAAAAATCAGAAAAAGTAAACTTCAAACGTCTGTGGAGTTTTAAACCCTTTAAAAACTCAAGCGTTTCCATTCAGAGTACACAGATCAGTAATAGCTTTATATTAAGTAGATTATTTGACCTATTCCTCCAGGTGCTACATTATTTATTACCACGAACTGGGATTCCTAACTTGACAGCCACAAAACTAAAGAAAGCTCCTGATGTTCTACATCTCAAAAGCAGTTCTGAAAGCATGATTAAGTCTTTCAAAATCCTAGCATGTGACAAAGTGATTAAAGTTGTTTTAATACCAAATAAATTAAGGGTATTTTATTTTTACTTAAGTTTCAAAAAAGCTAAAGAGTATCTCACCTACACCAAAAATAGATAATAGTTTTATTTCCACTTGTTTACCCAAGTCTTTTCTATCTTGTGTCTTTAGGGCAGCGATTTTCCACCTTTTTCATCTCATGACACACATAAACTAATCACTAAAATTCTGCGGCACACCAAAAAATATACTTTTTGCTGATCTGAGAAAAAAAGAGGTATAATTTTCATTTATGCACACTGGATGGCTATTGTTGTATTGGCTGAAGTCATTGTTTTTATTAATTTTACAATTTAAGGAAAAAGAGGTCTGTGCCCCTGACTAAAGTAGCCAAGTATTGCATGTTTAAAAAATTCTGTGGCAAAACAGTTGAAAATTGCTGATCTAGGGAATGTCTGTGAATCCTGAGATTCATAGGCACGTGTTATAGGTATGTATATTTTTTTAGGGAAAGTATTAATTATATTTTCAAAAGAGGTCCATTACTTTAAAAGTTAAGAACCACTTAACATACAGCAATTTAAACATGGCTATACTGCCCCAGCTCCGCGTCCCTTTAACTTTTTCTCCTTTATATTTTGTTCTTAGAACACCAATGTGGCTTAGTGCCGCTGAAAGTCACTGAGCAATGTCCAAAATCCATTTGATATTCACGTCAACCTCTGGCCGTGACATACTGCTAACTAACATTTGAGGACTAAACATTTCCTGTCTCACTCACTCTCCCTTAACACCCCCTGGTAATGAAACGCTGGCAGAATACCACAAATTGGTACTCTGCTTCTGAATAATCAAGAATTGATTGTAAGCCTAACAGAAATGGAAAGCTATACTTTGGCCCAGGCAGATAATTATCTGAGCCAACTATATAGATATCAGAGAGTTCACAGTCCTCAACTCATCTGACTCAATTCTCTACACTGGTCTTAGCTATCTTTGGGCGACAGAAAAGCACGAATCCCCTCTTGAGAAAACTAAAACAAGTCTGCCTGCTACGTAGATTACAAGTGGTCAAAAAATGAGCAATGGATTCATCAGCTCAGTCTGTCTGTGAAAATGGTTTCCCAACCACTTTCGTTCTGTATAATAAATGCTTAAACAGGGAGAAATAAAATGACCACGGGGTACAAAGCAGTTCATCACCGGCACAGTATCACTAGGACCGTGGCCCTTCAGAACCAATTCAGTTTTTAAAAACTTAACTTTCCCTCTCTCCATTCCACAAGTCTAGTTCTTCCTTTCCCCGTTAATCCCTTGGGATGATTAAACTTCAGGTTTTTATGTCACACTATCACACTCACACGATTTGGACAAGTTGCAGTCAGCGAAAATTCAATACAAACACGGGGTTATGGGAGAAATACAGTGTTTGGGAGGCAAATGCGTCGCTCCTGAAATCGGGCATGTAAAAGTCCTTCCTCTGAAGCTCAGTTTACCCCAACAATGTATCAATGGGCTTTGGTGGGACTGGCCTGCAAGGTCTCTCTACCTCCGACTCTCCTCCTGCCGCCCCCGCCACAACTGCGACCAATGGCCCCGCGTCGCCTCCAGCGGGGGTGCAGCTGGGGCCCAACCCCGCCGCCCGGGACGGAGCCACTCCCCACCTCTCGTCGCCATGTTTACCTGTCCCGTTAGCAAGTGGGATACCACGAGGAGACGGCTACCAAGCCCGCCGCCGATGCTGCCGTCTCAGGCAAGTTCATGACCGAGGACCCGTTCTTGACTGCCACCGTCCTCCTCTGCCTCCACCGCCGCCGCCCAGGCCAAAGTCTCCGCCTTCCCGGCCTTCCGCCGCCGCCACGTCCTCAAACCTGCCGTGCGTCATCGCGTCAAGTGGGCGGAGGTGGGAAGGGGCGGGGGAGGAAGAGGAGGAGTGCGGGGGCGTAAGGGCGAGCTCAGCACCCCGGGCTTTCCTACACAGGCCTGAGCCGAGCGCTCAGGCATTAGGACGCCGCCAGGCCCAGGGGGCGGGGTCCGAGTTCCAGCCCCTCTACCTTCCCCTCCCATTCGCCACGCCCCATCATCCTCTCTAGAGGCGCGGCGAGGGCCAAGTCCTTAGGCTAGCTACGGGATCGTGGGCCGCCTGCCTTCTGCGCTTTTGTTCTTCGTTCACGCGCCGCTGGCAAAATTGTGTAGGAAGCATTGAGTGGAGAAGGCGCTGAGGATTCGTCGAGGGCTGCTGTGTATTTCTTATTGCGCTGCCTCTAGAGGTTTCTGTAGGGTGGGGATGGACGCTGAAGACCACAGTGTTGACGTCCATGTTTTAGAAAGTTGTGCAAGGCTTATTACTCTTCATGCTTGTCTCTAGATTTCTGCAGAAGAGACAAAACACTGGAGAAAAACCTTGGGCGGCCGAAGACAGTTGTCTTAGGCTTTCTGTTTATAGGTGAGGAAAGTGAGCCACCTAGAGTCAGGCCATGGGAAGCTTTTGCCTTCCAGCCCTGGTTCTCAGGCTTCCTATTCTCATTAAGACAAAGCTGTCTACAAATTGTAGTTTACTTTGTTTTGAAAAATAATTGGAAGTTGTTAGTAGTTACAATTGAAGTGTATGAGATGTTAGTTTCTGCTCTAGGGACGCATGACTTTATACATGATTTTCCTCATGAATTTACTGAGTACAATAATGTATTTGATTTATGTAAAGAAGTGTAAAGCAGCACTTTTCAACCAGTGCAACAAGAATTTTTAAAACATACAATACTTGACTAGTTAGGTGCACTGACCTCTTTTCCCTTAGAATGTTAAATGAAAATGACAACAGCCATCACAACAACAGTGTCAGGTGAGAGTGACATATTGAACCATAAATATATAGGTCATATAACGGAGTTTCCTCATATTGGTCACATCACATAATAAGGTTGTGTCTGATTGGTTAATTCTCAGTACCAGAAATCCTTATAGACAAGCACAGGCACCTGACTTTTTAAAAAGTCACTTTGGAGCAAAAAGGATAGGTAATTACTATTATTATATTTTTGTAAATCAATCACTTTTTTGTCAAATCAGTAAAAACCGTAATTTTTTTTTGTTGTACTATCGAATTTTAGTAATTAGTTTAAGTGTGCCATGAGATGAAAAAGGTTGAAAAATCACTGGTGTAAAGTGTTTTAATGATGGGCCTACTGTCTCCCAGTGTTAACGGTACAGACTTTGCACTTTGACGACTGTATTACAATATACATTTTAGATCCAAACAGGCAGGGGGCATGGTGCAGAGCACGTCTTTTCAAAATGTCTGAATACAGTGTTTGAATACATCATGAAGCCTTTGAAGCTTTGTTTTAAATTATTTTCAAAGAGTATTTTTGTTTTGTTTTCTGGCAAGTGTCTAAGTAAGGTTAGAAATTCAATATTGCAATATTTTTCTTTTATTTGAGGGGATAGGCACTGTGCTCCATAATGCTACAAAAAAAAAAAACTACAGGAGAGGAGGACTTAAAAAAATTATTTTAAGTTTGTCAGAACTGTTCTGTGTGCTATTGCCCTTGTGACACCCCTGTCTGTAGCCATTTATCACTGCGACATTTTCTCATCAGTAGACAAAGAGTATATTCCCTACTTGAACTGTAGGGCTTCAGCTGCTCAGCCTTCATGAATGTTAATGTGAATACAACCTTCTTTCTGCATATAGGTTACTTTCCTTATTTTAATGTCAATAGGCAGTGGAATCCATGTGAGAGCCCGAGTGATAGCATTTCAAGCACTTCTACAGGACTGCCACTTGTTTCCTTTGTATAAATACTTTCTCAACGATATCTGCATACTCTTGAATTGTTATTTGTATGTAACAAAGATGCAGTTACTGAACTTTTTACCAAAAAATTGCTATTTTATTATTAAAATAAACAAAGGAGGCAATTAACCATGAATTTTGGCCAGGTTCCAAAAAGCTGGCCCGTTAGGAGCAAGTACTTTGTCTTGGGGTAAAAGGATGTCCTCAGTGTTCAGCAAAGCCAAAAGGCTTTTCAGTTTTTTGAGAGCTCATCTGACACAGTTTTCATTAAAAGGTGCAGATGAAAGAATATGTAATTTCTAGGAATGTGTGTTTCTGTCACTAACTTTTAAGCTTTGTGATTTGCTCCAGAATAAAAAATTATATTGTAATGAGAGTATAAATTCATGCAACTGATTAGGAGTGTTACTTGACAGTCTCTATAATAGTTAAAAATGCAATGGACTGAACTATTATATTGCTAAGTAATTACCTTGGATTCACATACAGATACATAAGGATATGATTTAAACGATATGTTCAGGAGTTTTTACTATAATATAGCCAAAAGTCTGCAAATATTCTCAATATTCACCAGCTGGATACTCTGGAACACTTAAATGATGTAATATTATACTTTTGTTCAAAACAATGAAGTTTATCTGTATTTTCTGAGTTATTTATTTACCTAAATTTTTTTGTGGGAGGAAAAGTATATATGAAACCTCTTTTCTAGGCATTGGGAATAGAGTGCTTAAAAAGAGAGTTTCCTTACTCATGGAGCTTCCGTGAATAGGCACATGGAAAGATCTCCAAAATGTATTTTAAAGAGAAAAAAGAAAGTTGCCCTATAGGAGGTATAATGCTATTTCTTTAGAAAAAAATTTTAAATGTACACCTCCATCCCCTGTACATTCATATATCTGGGCAGGGAGATGCATTTTGTTTTTCTTTCTGGAAAATTACTAAAGGACATTTTTTTATTTTTTTAATAATTTTATTTATTTTTAGAGAGAGGGGAAAAGAGGAAGAAAGGGAGAGGAACATCAATGTGCAAGATACATCAATCACTTGCCTCTTACATACCCCCCGCTGTAACCCACACATATGTCCTGGCTGGGAATTGAACCAGAGACCTTTTGGTTCACAGGCTGTTATTCAATCCACTAAGCTATACCAGCCAGGACTACTAAAGGAATATTTAACAGTGGCTGAAAAGGATTAGATGTGGCTGAAGGAATAGACAGGAGACTTTACTCTTTCTTCTTAGAGTTCTCTCTATATATTGAATTTTTATTACCACATGTTTTTATTATTAAAAAATATTTAGACTAAATGTGTTTTATTGTCAAATAACTGGACTTGTATCCACAGTTAATAAATAGTCATCCATTTCTTAATCATTCCAGAGTCTGTTTGTATATTGTATCCAAGTAGTGAGTGCCTGGAGAAAGGAACCAGATCAGGTCCCCTGGAAATCAAAAAATGGAAGATTAACAGAACATTGAATTCTTTTTATATTTCTTCTTGATTTCTCTCTGCCAGATCTCTTTCCTTCCACCCATTTTACTCTGTGTTCCTCCCTATATCTTTTTATCAGCCTTTCTTTCTAATTCTACTTTCTAGCATTGAAACTGGAAGAGATTATTGTACACTAAGGAAATACTTAAACTCAAATGAATTTAAAACTGGATTATGAGGTGAAACCTAAAAAATCTCCCCTCATCTCTGATCTTCAAACAATCTATATACAGAGAAAATTACTGATTCTTCCCTAGAAGTCTTGAAAAAAACCCAACACACTGTATGATTTACGTATGTTCTGCTAGAGATGAAACCAGATGACCTCCCTAGTTCCTATTCACCCTGTGATTTTAAAACATAGTGATTATCATAATCACCATTCTGTGATCAAATGTACTTCAGGCACCCAGAATTGCTTCTAAATGCTAGTAAGTAATTCAAGGATGTTAAATGACTTGACAATGACCATCCCATTGTTTCCGTCCATGCAGACATTACTAGATGAAAACTAACCTCACAAATACGATCCTTTAATTCTTCAGCTAGTTAATTAGTACATATAGAAAAAAATAGTTACATGTTTCTAATTAAGTAGACTATAACTTGAAATGCTTTGTTTCCTATGACCTTTACAATCACTATTGCCACATAAGTAACTTGGTGCAGGTAAATACCCCCTAGAACTTATAACCTGCTGGCTTTCGTGTCTGCTCCTCCAAAGACCTAAGATGGTCAGACAGAATTGAATTAAGTCATTTCACCAAAGGGAAACATGAAAGGTGACCCAGTATATGGAATTGGATGAGGGCAGAAAGTGATCATCTGGAAGTGTAGCACAAATCAAAATAGAGTCTAGAGACAGGCATTGAATTAAATTTCTTAGATGTTCAGTATTGTGCTCATGGAGTTGGGAAGATTAGGGAGTGGGGAAGCATAAAGGGAGAATGGAAGAGGCAGCAGCATCTTCTCATTCTAGTCTGGGTCTTTCCTGGTAGTTAGAGACTATTTCTGTGACAATTCTCAGCTTAACCAACTGTATCTGAAAAATCAAGCAAGAAGTTCAAAAAAAAGCAAAGCTTCCATGCCCACATAAAGAATCACAGAACTGTGAAGTATACATACCTAAAGTGAAAGCAGTGCTTATCTGACAAAATATAGACAAATTACATCTATTCATTCCACACATATTAATTAAATACCTCCTGTGTTTCAGGTCCTGTTTTAAGCACTGGGGATATCTGCTCAACAGACAGACCCAAATCCTGGCTCTCATGGAGCTTATGTTCCTGTGGTGGAAAAGGAAGAAAAACAAAATAAAGGAAATATTGGTAGGTTACATGGTGATAAACTAATGGAGGAAAAGTAAGTAGAGAAGGAGGTCTGAGTGTTTTGGCAGGGAGAGTCTGTATTTGTAATAGAGAGGGTAAGGGAAGACTTGGTTGAAATAGATTAACACAGGCCTGAAGAAAATACATGTGTCATGTTGGTACCTGCGAGAAATTGCTGGACAGAAGGAACAACCAAGTGGCAGCCATGTCGCTGAGGGGAATTGTGCCTAGTGC